TGAACTATTAAGAATTTTCATATTTTCCCAATTTCCGACTATAGTAGTCCATTGTAGTCCATCATATATACCCTATAGCAAGAATCGATCTGGCATTAAGTTACTTCTGCCGAATTGTTGCTTGGCCAAGTATAGAAATACATAATGCCAACTTGTAAGGGTATTTTATCTTCGGCAATTTCGAATGTACTGTACTCTTGTTGTTCGCCCCCAATTTAATATAGCTACAGGGTATACAAGCCGTTAAAATGCCTAGGGTAGAGCGCATTGGTTATTTAATTAACACGCGACAGGTTCTCATGACTTTAAGCCATATAAACCAGCTAATTGGTAGGCAGCTCAGGTCGAGCCAATCTCTCATAGAAAAAAGTAAAGACATGCCCAAATAAAACTTAATTTTCACACATTAAAATTAGTTGGAAATCCCCCTCCACGCACCACCCTCCCGCCTAAAATCAACCTCAACTATTTCTACTGACACTGAATAATGACAAATTCAGGCCCTGGCGACAGTTTGACAGCTTGTGTGGATCTCTCAGTCTGCCAGAGAAAAAAAATATACTTATAATATCTCAGTTTTGGTTGAGAAACGAAAGCAAAATTGGGACTTGACTTGCACTTGGACTTGGACTTGATTAGTGTGTGCATGTTGTGTGTGTGTGTGTGTGTGTGTGTGTTGTGTGTGTGCATGCCCCATGTCTGGCAGTTTTGAGCGTTGTAAGCTAAATAAATGAGTTTGTCAGCCAGCAGCGACATGATTTGATAATTGGTTTTAAATGCAATTGGAAAGCGGCACGAAAGTGGCCAAAAGCAACAGGAAGCGGTTCCCCAACTGAACTGCATAAATCAATTAAATTTAAGTAAATAAATATAAATATAAATAAATGTAAATAAATAAGTGGTCTTAGCATGGCCAAAATGGCTTAAGTTTTGGCCATTGACATTTTGTTTGCGGCCATAATCAGCTCAAATATTGTGGCAGCAGCTTCCAAGTGGCCACTAAGTGACTCACTCGAGTGTCGAGCTTCGAGGTTCGAGTTCGCGATGTGAATGTGGCCAACGGGGCGGGGTTATTGCGACGGTTATGTAAGGTCATTAAGACCCCACCCATGACGCGCCAAGAATGAGCCAAATAAAAGCAAACAACAGGAGAGAACAGTTGACTGTGAAGTGCTCGAAGAGTAGATACTCTCTGATAGATGTTTTTCCATAATAAGCGAGAATTCGGGCTTGAATCACAGGCCTCATTGGAGGCAGGGCTAATCATGATAAACAATATCTTCCGCTTTCTGGTAGTTCGCGAGTTTTTCAAGATTATCAAAAGTGTTCGATTTTCCAGCCTCATGCTCGAATCATAATAGCCGTTTTGGCAAGTGTATCGAAAACAAAAGCGCTTGAGCTCAACATAATTCTGACACTCGAAAAAAGTTTTTTATGAATGCATTCGCAGGCACCGTTAACACTGGCCATAAAAACAACTTAGTCAGCAAAGTGAGCGTTAGTCAAACTATTTTAATTAAATGCCACCAGATACCGCGCGGGATGGGGCAAGATGAGGCAAGAGGCAAGAGGCATGTGGCAAGCGGCAAGTAGGGCTATTCCCGACCCAGTGTTGGCTTTAATGGACTCGTTAAGCGACGCCCCCTTCAAATCGCAGCCGCACTTGCAACTGGCGCTCAGGCATGCAGCACATAAATTAATGTTGGCTTTGCCTCTCCACCCTCGGCACGCTCTGCTCAAAACAAAAAAAAAAAAAGAAGAAGAAGAATGCACAAGCGACAGCATTTTCCACATGCTTTTCAAGCGTGAATTTTGCGCACATGTCGCGAGAACGCAGTCGATTTTTCGAGAGAACTGAGATTTCGACTGCAAATTGGCGCCTGACAGCCCCCAAAAGAGTTGACAGCTTGTGGGGGGGGGGGATAAAGAAAGGGGCGAGGAGGAGCGAGGAGGAGTGGCATAGAGGGGGCTGCAGCATTGGTCAAGTTCATGTCAAGCCAACGCAAGAGTAGCTGTCAGAGAAGACGCCCAACAGCTGCTGTCAAACATAAAAGGGGCAAAAATACAGACTCAATTCGAGCTAGACAAATAGACCAGATCTTAAGCCCCTTTAAATGAGAAAATACTCACAATTGATGTACGTCAATATTTCTTGGAACGAAACAAGGGCAGACATATTTAATGGCAACGATTTCAGTCAAAGAAATTCTCAGGGATTATCAAGTAGAAATGTTGGAAGAAATTAACAGAGGCCAAATCAGATGAGTTTTGACCGAGTTATGTGTTTGGGAAGTTTCGACCTGTCTTTAAAGGATATATAGGATATATTTGAGCAAGATTTGCCTTTTTGTCTTAAAGCAACTTTTAGACTGATTTTACTAATATTCTATGTACCTAAGTATTCCATGTCAAGCGCATGCCTAATTAAATTCCATATAGGTTCGGATGTATCCTGCGTTTCATTTTTCCCTTGTTCCGCTCGAGCTTACTTAACAGCTTTTCCTTTGCAGTTTCTTTGGCTTGCGCGTGTATTTCGCTGCCTGACAGCTTTTCACTGGGGCTGCGAAATTAATTAAGTGGAGTTTAGCACTTGTTAGGCAATTGCTGAGCCCAGGCAAAAGCCAATAAATCCTTGTTGCCTGTCACAGCAACGCAGCGCAAAAATTAGAGGAACTGGCACAGGAACAGGTACCACGACAGCAGACAAATTAGATCTATTTAAATTAGCGAAGCGCCTAATTTAATTATAGGGCCACGTTGGAAAATTGCATAAATTTATGCACAAAGCCCACATTTTAATGAACTGCCAGGAAAATTGTTCACTCGTTACGCCCATTTGTTCATCCGTCCGTCCGTCTGTCTGTCCGCCTGTTTGCACATAATTAAAATACAATTCAAAGAACGCCCACACACACGCACACACACACTCATCGCGAAAATGTGAATGCATTTGGGGATTTATTTGGTTATTGTTGATTTTGGCAACGGCCCCAATTTTGCAGCTTTGTCTATGTGCTTGGGGAATTTTTGGTATTTCCATCGAATTTTATGTATTATGCATGTTCTGTAAACAGCATTCGATTTGAACAAATATTGACAGTTGAATGACAGTGCGACTCCGACTGCGACTTCTATTTTCCAATGAAGTTGCACATTTTCCATATTTCAAGTTGCCTCAACGAAAAAAAAAACATAAAAATGGGAGAAATATATCTGTAAAATGTGAGTAAATCAAAACAAACAGCGCCTGACCACAGGCCATAAATCTTGTCCAAATATTTACCCAAGCAAATAAACTCAAGTAAAACCAAAGAACTGGACCTGGAGAACTCTGGGCTAGAGAGCGCACAGGAGGCCGAGGGGACATACAGATATTTGGTTTTTCAGCTTTGAGTTAAATAAACTTTGCTAAATCGAGATGACTTGCCATAAATTCGAAGCCAAATAGTTGAGAATATGGCATATGATAGCTCAATAATTGATCAACTATTTATAGTATTAATAGTAATAATATTAACTAAGTGCCGGACTAGGTGATACTCTGTTTTTAACAGCCGAAAGACTTCTTACTTTATTCCTCACAGATGAATTTTTGAATATCACAAGACTTTATGAAAATCTGAAAGCCTTAAGTTCATGAAAATCGCAGAGAAAGGCGACAAAATGTAAGAAATTATGGAAGAGAGTAATTAAATCAGAGAGGGAGAAAGAGAGAGCGTGACTGAGAGAGTGTGAGAGGAATATGAAAAATTGAAAGATGTCGGGTCATTTTACTAAACAACGAAAGAGAGAGAGAGAGAGCGAGAGAGAGAGATGAAGGGAGAGAGAGGAAGAAGGCAAAGAAGAAAAAAGAGAGAGTCAGACAAAGAGAGGGAGAGAAAAGAATAGGCCACGTCAATTTTCGAAACAAACAAATTCTGTTAAGCAATACTCGAGATTATGAGAATCGCATAGAAGAGCATTTCACATATTGACAGAATTGAAGCTTCATTAAAGACATTTGAACTCTGCATATCGCGATTATGCACACTTAATGGGTTCTTAAAAGGTTGCCGTCGCTTGCTAAATACACTTTAGCACATTTATTATACCCCATTTTGGCAAATTTTGACTTGGAAAAGCGTATTTATGGTAATAAATGTATGTCAAGAGCTCAGCTGTCAGATGAGAGCTGCAATTGATGCTTTAACCAAGCGTTTGTGGACTGTGCTGTCTCCTGTGTTTACTTCATCTTAATTAAGCTAAAACCATGCCCACATTATCAACAATTGTGTGTGTGTGTGTGAGTGTGTAAAAGTAACTGGAAGATAAACACAATGCCACACTAATGACCATATACATGTTCTACACACAAGCACACGTGTCTGTCTGTCTGCGTGCGTGTGTGTGTGCATCTGTGTGTGGCTCATCAATCATCAAGAGTCCCTGGACTAGGTGTGAAACTTTTAGCGAAAACGTTTAAACGTGACTTCCGACTTTGGAGAATTTCAGAGTTGAACGTGTTGCCGCTACTCCTCTCGCCGTTCCCCCTTAAAGTCAAATATATTTATTACAGCGATATGTTTGCCAAATAAGGTAAGCCGCATGTTGTCTGCATGTGTGTTACACTTGCTGCCGGGGCCGAAAGTGTGAATATGCGCATAGCTGTTACCATTTTGGCCAATGCCAAAGCGCTGCATAAATCACACTTGTTGGCCATTCGCATGCATTTTCCGCGCTGTGGCCCATAAATTAAAATGTTTGCAATGCTCTGCCGATTCAATTTAGTGGGCGTGACCTTTGCTCTTGCATTTTGCACGTTTTTGTAGCGTTGTCCATAGTTGACTTATTATGCTGCGCTTTTCTCGTCTTCAAATACGCGCGCGCTTTGTTAGAGTTCAGTGTTGCCGTGCAGTGTTGTGTAACAGATTGCTCAACACTGACAACAAATGCGCAGCAGCAGGGCTGCTATCGATAGCCGAACTGAAATTTATCGGCGACATATACAAATTCCAACAAGCAAGCAGCAAAGAGAAATATATTGACCAACGAATTGAATTAAATTGCATCAAGAACATTGTTTAATAAGTGAGAATGTCACTGGGAGATGTGAAGGAGCAGCTGCGCGGCTCGCGGACTGAGGCGAAGGACGCGGCAAAGCTAATACAAGTGCAATTCGAACGCATCAGAAATGGCGGGACGACAAGCGTCGCTTTGCGTGCGCTTAAATACGAATTAAATATACTGCGGCAGTTGTGCTGTGCCCTGCAGGAGAATTTCCATCAGCATGCGGACATCTACTGCGACATTGCGGCCGGCATGCTGATACATGTGGCGCCCCATCTGCCACAGCCCGACTACTGGGTCAATCATTTGATGAGCCTGCAATATATACATCATGCGCTCTGCCGCGAGGTAAGTCAATGGGCATTGCTTGAGAGGATTAGGACAGTTCATCTGATTACTTCATTTACCCGCCAGCAAACGATTAAACAATGCCAAAGATTCTATGAGCTGATCAACGCTCAACCGTGCCAAATGCAAAATAAGTCTGAATACAAATATTATATTGACATACATATCAGACATGTGTATTTTTTTGGCCACCAGCTGGGCAAGCAATCGGCGGCGTCTGAGGCCAAGACGCAGCTCTGCCAAGCACTGCAGGCCCTGGGCAAGCTGTTGGAGAACATGCTCCAGCTGAAGGCGGAACAAAACGATGGCTACAGCGAGCTGATGGGCGAGCTCAATCAATTGCTGGGCAAGCGCAGCATCGGTTATCTCAAGAACCTGGCCAGCTTGCCGCTGGCCTCTATGAACAGGCTGTGGAAGCCGCTCTTTAAGCTAATTGCCTGCAATGGCGGCACCACGGACCAGCTGAACGCCCAGTTTCCGGAATATCTAAGCGCCTTGCTGGCCCTGCTGCAGCTGGATGACAATGTGTGGCAGCTGCAGCAGCCGGTGGCGCAGGCGCAGACGCCTCTGTCGCTCCAGCTGCTGCACAGCTGCCGCGAGCTGTACAAAAATCAAACGGCCCAAAACGATGCGCTGCAATTGCTCTACAATTACCTCAAGCTGTTGAACACACAGTCCGCGGACTTGAAGCGCTCGTACATCGATTTGGCCGAGAAATTTGTGCAGTTCTTTGAGCACAAGGCCGTGCCGCATGCCCAGGAACAGTGGTACCTGGATTTTCTGTTTGTGCTGGTGCGCGTGCAGAAGCATCTGCATCAAATTGACAACAAGGCGCCCTCCTTGGAGCGCTTCTGGCAGTGCTTGGGTGGCCAGGACAGCGCCGCGGCATATGCCGCACACTTCGAGCTGCTGCAGTGCCTCACCAGCATGGCCATGAAGATTGGCAGAGGCAGTCCACTCGCCGCCAGCTGCAGCGGCAACGATGCCAGCTGCCTGAGCGTGCGCAAGCATTGCGTCTTTACGCTGGGCTGCTGTGCGACCGTGGCCTACAGCAGCTGGCAGCCGGAGGCCCAGGCGACGCTGCCCAAGGTAAACCTCAAATATAACTAGAAATTTATATATGCCAACTAATGGTGATTTACAACCCGCAGGCGACACAGCTGTGCTTGGCCAGCATTATACACTATGCCATCGATGTGGCCAAGGTCACCAAGTGCTTGACGCCCAACTGCAGCGAGCTGGTTACCTTTGCCTGGTATCTGATCAACATGGCGGAAAAGGTCACGACAGCCACACAAATGTACCTATTGGAGCACCTGTTGAAGCCGCTGCAGGAGCTGCGCCCGCTGCTCAGTCCGCCCTACGCACAGCAGCTAGTGCGTCGCCTATTCAAGGCCAGCGCCCACAGCTCCAATCCGGAGCTGTCCGCTCTTCTCCACGGCGCCTACATAGTCAGCATGAGCTGCCCGGCTCGGCAATTTCAGCAATTATGCGTCTTCTATCACACACCGAAGAACGACACGGAGCAATGCCTGCTCGAGCTGTGCGAGAAGAGCCCGCTGTGCAGCCCGCTGAACGCAACGGAGAAGCGTAAGCTATACGAACTGGACATGTTGGCGGTGCTGGCCAACAAGAAGACGCCAAAGCTGCTGCAGTCCCTGCTGCGGCATTGCCAGACGGACTATCAGATGGTGTTGCTCGGGCGCCAAATGCGCACGGACAAGCGCTCGGCCGGGCAGCAGATCGAGGAGCTGCGTGTGAGGCTGCAGCGCTTGGGCCGCAAGCAGCAGCTGACGCGGCTGCAGCAGCTAATTCTGGGCCATGCCAGCGTCACAAAGCTATTGGAGGCGGCCGAGACGCAGAAAATCAAAATACCCATCAAGGAGATGACAGAGAAGACGCTCGAGGACCTGCTCGTCAAGTACAAACTGTTCGAGCTCACCATAAGCAGCGAAATGCCGCTGCTCGAACTGGCCACCACAGCCATTGGCGCCTTCGAGAGCTTCTATGAACAGGTGAGACCCAAGAAACAATACCTCGACTGGCCAACTAGGAATTTGAGTAGCCAAGCATTAAGATTAGTTTCTTGAAAATCCGTGAAATTGAATGTTTTTAAACTGCAAATTCACTTATTTCTGGGAAATAAATTCACCTGCGTGAGTTCGTGAGATCGACCATATTCACATAGAAAAACGGACGAACAGACAAGCAGGGGTACATAACTAGATCGAGAATATATATATGCCAAATAGAAAAACCCAAAAACAATTAATACGTATTTTAGCTGCTATGGGAATTTCAATCGGAAAATAGGTGAAAACAAGTTTAGCTGCATATAAAAAAACGGACGAGCAGACGGACGGATCGAGAATATATATTCCATACCAAATACAATATGAATTTAGTTATGGGAATATCACACAACCAATCGGAAAATGGGTGAAAACCTTTTAGCTTTGGTTTCATTGACAAATTTAACATGATTTAACTCACCTGGCTTGAAGCTGGGCGTCTTAATGTTTTATATGTTACTCCTTACTCCTTGATTGATCCACGAAAACGAGTGGAAAACAGGTGAAACAGCCAAGAATTTCCAATTATTTTCACTACAATCTCTCCTCCCTACCCTCTGCACAGGCTGACGCGGAACCTTTGAGCAGTGACGAGGCGCTCATCGACTGGGAGGCGCTAATTGATGATGGCATTGCCGCCGCCATGGCGCTGTCCACCATGGGCTACATCCCGCAGTCGGACAATGCCTGGCTGCTGCTGCTGCGCATCTGCCGCCTGCTTGGCGACAGATTCAACTATTTGCGAGCGCTGAGTCACTTTCTGCCGCGCTACACACAACACGCGCTGTTCGACCTGCCGGCGGAGGTGTCGCATGCGGAGCAGCTGCTGGATGAGCTCTGGCCGCAGCTGCATGCGGCGCATCTGCTGAAGCGCCACCATACGACGGTGTTGTTGTGCCTCTGCAACCTGGCGCTGTACTATGCGCGCCTAGATTGCATTCGCCACGCCCAGCTGCTGCTGCTGCACGCGCAGCGGCTGCGGCTCGAGTTCGAGGAGCGGGCGGGCAAGTGCGACATTATCCAGTTGACCATCCAAACGGTCCGCTTTCGCATGTGCTATCAGCAGCGGCATTGCCGCAGCCTGGCCCGTCTGCCCACGGCGCTGCAGCAGCTGGACACGCTGACGGAGAGTGTGCGCAGCTTCACCTGCATCTCGTCCATGGACAACGGCGCGCTCATACTGCTGCTGGGCGACATGGTGCGCGATACCACAGAGTGCACGGCGAATCGGCTAAGCGAACTGCCCAATTTCTCCAACAGCCTGCTGCAGCTGCTGCTCCAGAGCGGGCTGGTGCTGCGCGCCGTCGAGTTGCTCATCTCCTGGCTGTGGACCAATTTGCGCATGGAGTGCCTGGACAAGGCGCACTCCAAGCTGCGCCTCATCGAGCACTTTCTGGGCATGCAGCCGTTGCTCGAGTCGCGGGCAGCTCTGGAGCAGACCAGCAACAAGGGAAGCCTGACCTTGGCGCCCATGGATGCGCAGTCCAAGCACATGACCGAGCTGGTGGGCAAAATGTTCGTCATGCAGCTGGAGCAGGGCGGGGCCTGCGTAGAGCCCATCCGAAAGCAACAACAGCTGACCATGTCGTCGCCGCGTCGGGTAAGTAGCTACCCTCAATTGGAAATCTCTCACTCTTAATCTCTGTCCGCCTCAACAGGAACTGCCGTTGCCCAGCGCCAGGCCCAAGCTGCAGCGCTATGTGTCCCTAGACATGCAGCAGTCGCATCCGATGCTGCGTTCCAGCGTGCAACTGCAGTGCATCTACTTTATGGCGGGCTGCCTGCATGCGCGTCTCTACTTTCTGAATCGGGAGCACGAGCAGTTGGACGATTTCTATGCGCTGGCCAATGCCTGGCTGCAGCAGAATGACGCACGCGGCAACGCTTTGGGCCATATGCTGCTCGTGCTGCACATCTATCAGGCCAACTATTTGCGTGCCAGGCGCCGGCAGCAGCAGGCCATTGAGCTGACCGAAACGGCACTGAAGCTGGCCGGCAGCGAGCAGCTGCAGCAGCGCATCGATGTCAACTATCGCTACAATCTGCTGCTGCAGCTGCGCACGGCACAGTTGGAGCTGCAGCCGCCGAGCAAGCCGCAGAATCCGCGACGTGCGCTCACATTTAACATATCGCCGGAGGAGAAGCAGCTCAGGCCGGCCAGCAAAGCGGCCACAGCTAGCAAAAAGCCAGCTAAATTTGCCATATACACGGAGGAAGTGCGTCCAGCCAGTAGCACCACCAGCAGCAGTAGCAGCAGCAGCAGCTCCAGTGAAAATGCCAGCAGTCCGGAGCGAAAGTCAACCAAGTCCAAGTACAACAAACGCCTGGATCTGAATGCCTGCCAGCTCATCGACATCATAGACTTGAGCGACGACGAAACGGAGGCCGTCGTCCAGCTGCAGCCTGCCAAGTCCACGTCCGCTTTGTCCACGCGCAGCACACGAACGCGCACCCAACGGCAGGCGGACACGCTTGTGGCGCCCCTCAGACGCACAGCCACTGCGCCCAATCCGCTTTCCGCGGAGGCGACACCCAAGACAATTGGCACACGTGCGCGCACCCGACGTCAGAATACGGCAGAGCAGCCGACGACGACGACAACAACAGCCACGCCCAAGGTGGACTCTGTGAGCAGCAGGCGACGCCACAGGAACTGATTACGCTTAGATTCATACGCTCGCCGATATTTTTTGATCCGTTTTTTTCATTTTATGTATTATTCAGCAATAAATGTTACACTCATAGATTCCGTTTGGCGCTCTTGATGGGCAGCAGCGAGGCGCGGCACATGTTATCGCTCCAAAGGCCGTGCTGCGGCACGCTCTGACCCTCCTCTTGCTGGTGATAGTAGATGCCCCTGCCGGACTTGCAGCCGTTCGCGAACTCACCCACATAGCGATTGCCATTGGCTGTGAAAAACAAAGGCTAGGTTCAGCAAGAAGCGCAGTGAGAAGCAAAATTTAGAGTCGAGTTATGGCTTGGCCGTTAATTGCTGCGACTCTTATATATTATTATGACTAAGCTAAAAAACCCCAGCTGGAGAAGCATCTGGCTTCTCAACTCACTCGCTATTCGCTTGCATTGGCATAGCTTAGCCTAGCTTAAAAGTGAGAAGCGCGCAAAGTGAATTAGTTAAAGAAGAAGCGCAGTGGGAAGTAATGTTTAGCGTCGTGTTGACGCCTAGCCGCTTCCTGTTGGAGATTTCATGCTGTTCGCTCGCATTGGCATGGCTCAGCTTATCGCAGGTAGCAAAAAGCGTAAGAATGCAGCATGCGCCTCTCTCTGTGATTCGCATTTTGATTTAAAGTGAGAAGCGCGTAACGGGAATTATTCAAGTATTGTTTTCTATTGAAAATCGAAATATATCAATTTTAGTAAATGGACCGGACTTATCGCATGATTTAAAATAAACTTAAATCTTACGCAGATTTAAGATCTTTTAATACCAACTTGCAAACATCATATCATATCATAAAAACGGATGGGCGAACATAAAGACATACAGATGGTCGAGGATAGATGGATTTGGTTATGGATAAAATATAGATATATTTTATATGTTGTCAAAGATGTCTCCCATCTTTTACAATTATAGTATACAATCGCAATGAGTAGAGGGCAAAAGAGGAGGCAACGCTTCGTCTTCCTTTTATCATCACTTGGTGAATCAATATATATATATAGACTACTAGCTTATCAGTTTACTGTGCTTCGCTTCTCACTTCCCTTATTTAAGTTGAAGAAGTGAAGTCTACTTAACTTCTACCTTCACTTCTTCTTGCTACTCCACAACATTTGGCTTCTCTTTGCGCTTCAAGAGCAACTCACCTGAGCAGAGCGCTCCACGGCCGTGCATGGCATCCTTTAGCCACTCGCCCACATAAATGCTGCCATCCGGCTGCCACTGTATGCCGCGTCCGTGCCGCACGTTGCCCAGCCACTGGCCGTAGTAGACGTCGCCATTCTCATAATCCTGTTTGCCCTCGCCGCAGCGCACATCTGCCGACCATTGGCCCACATAGATGCGTTGCGCGTGTCCGTTCGGGCCGAGGCGGCGCAGCGTGCCATAGCCATGACGCTGGCCGCCAAGCCATTGTCCCTCGTAGATGAGACCGCGTCCCGTGGCCTTGATGCCATAGCCATGATGCTGGCCGTGCAGCCAACGGCCCTGGTAATAGCCGCCGGCGTTGGTGTAGCGCTGGCTTCGAAAGGAGCTGTTGCTGCCACTGGCACGGGTCGACATGTTGCGGGCAACTGACTGGGAATCCGGCACTCGGAGCTGGAAGCGTTGTCGATTTGTCATCTGCCGCGGTGCCAGTCGCGGTGGTTGGGTGGTGCGTTCGGCGCCCGATTCTAATCAAGCTGCTAACATGTCTTGTGCCTATGCCACATTTGATTAAACCACCAGCCCGATGGAGGCCAATGCCTGACACGCAAACTTAACCTAAGCTCGAGGGAGGGCAGGAAGGGGGGGGGGGGGCTTATACAAAACGTGTTTAGTTGTTGGTTTTTGTTTAGTTGGGGTTTCTTGTCTGTTGTCTAGAAAAATAAGACCTTTAATTAAGTATATGTTATGTATAAATTAGGAGCGAACTAGCGCTTAGACATAGGCCTGCCAATGGAGGCTCATATATGTAGATTGGATCCCATGCGCGGATCGTACAAATACTATATATATATATATATCTACATGTATGTATGTAACGTATGTAAAGTAAAAAAAAAAATAAAATAAAATATATAATATTGCCTTATGCGTATCACAATTTGCATTAGCTACAAATTCACAATTCTAAACAATTGATGTAGTCTAAAGTTTTTCCTTTGGGCCCCCGACGGGGGCAAATATGTCTTTTAGCTTTTACAAAAGTTGTTTTTGTTATCTTTTTTGTTGGGGGGGAAGCATTTTGTTGTTGTTGTTGTTGTTGTTGGGTTTGGCCTGCTGCTAAACAATGTCACCGGAGGCGCCATAGTTGAAGCCATTGTTGCGGGCATTGTTCACCTCGAGATGATCCTGCTCCATTTGCTCCTTGAGCAGCTCCAGCTCCCGTATGCCCGACACGGTGACCTCGTACTTGTGCGTCACCAGCGATCGATAGAAGTGCACGGCAAAGGCCAGAAAGATGATCATCACGGGTATGAGAACAACCACAGCTGACCAGGCGGCGGTTGTGCTCAGATCGTAGAACTTCACCCAGCACAGTATCGCGATCTCGACAAGAAAGAGTATCAGGCCGAGGACCGTGGAGAATGCCCAGGCCGTCTCGATGTACCAATGGAGACGCTCGTGCGGCGACTCGTGCACCAGGGCGATGCTGTGCAGATTGCAGACCGTCTCGATGTTGGGTAGAATGCAGGTGCTGATCATCAGGGCGAGCATGTGGACGGCCACCAGCAGGGTGGTGCAGATGGCGAAGGCCACCAGCATGCCGGGCGGTACGCCCGTATCCTTGTCCAGCTGCACCTCCACCATGGCCACCTGCGAGAGCGTGAGAGAGAGAGAGAGAGAGAGAGAGAGAGAGCAAGAAGGAGACTTAATGAGTAAGGCGAGAGACAGAGAGAGCGAGAGAGAGAGAGAGAGAGAGAGATCACAGGGGATCGACTGGCCAATGGCCGCCCCTTTATTATGTATTTCTTTTATATTATTAGCCAATTCATGTGTTCACAATTTGGCAACAGATTCGGTCGCGAATCTACATCAATTTCATATATACATATTGCACATTCAATATTCATATACATATATATATATATATAAATATATGCGAGCAATTTATGCGATTATCCTCGCCTGTCTGCCCTCTATTTTGTTTGTGGTATGCAAGTATTTATTTGACAGGTCTCAGGTATGACACTATCAAATACCCTGTAAAAGCTTTTTTGGGGTTTGCTTTTTAAAAAGCTCTTGAAAATGTTTGGCAAATATGAACTGCAAGTTATACCCTGTATCAAAGTATTAGCAAGGATAATATATAGATCTCTATGAACATCTACTTATCCCAGTTTAAGTTCTTTTTAGACTAGATCTCATATTTAGTTATTTCTAGAAGGAAACAACAAAACTAGATTGACATATTCAGGTCTAGCATTCAGATAATGCTGATTAAAATATATACTATAGACTAAGAAATGCTCTGCCCAGCCAGTGAATACCCTATTTATAGTATATGTGAATATACATAATATATATATAATTTATACCCTATTTATTCAATATGTTAAGGGCGCACTCTTTGAGCCCCATTAAATATTCTTGATCAGTATTCAAAGCCGAGCATTGAGTGTCAGTCTAGATATTTATATATATATATCTGTTTGTATACTAAAAAAAAAACGTTTCTAAGTCAACTTTATAAAACTTGTCATAGGTCAGATAATATATAGATAAATAGATTTTAATATCTAAGGGAACCATGTTAAAAGACGATAAAATTCCTATATATTAAAAAAAAAGGGAAATCCTTTTGTGATTTTCAATAAAATATTACTCTGAAAATCGAAATTCTAAATAATTATAAAAATACATTTTTTGGCCTTAAAGTAAGGCCTTGACATTTACTTTTTTAAGAAATACATATAATATATTATTATATATTTATTTATTGAAATTGACACCAAAAAGATTTGCTTTTAAAGATCTGGACATGCTTTTCATCTATTTAAATAATTCTTGTGTGTTTTAGTTGTTCATACCCGTCTTGTTAGTTTCTTGTGTACAGGGTAAGCAAAAGGGCAATTGCGCCATTATTATTTTAATTAAAGACCATGGCATTAATTGTAGAAACAAACTAATTTTGATTTTTATTAAAAACAAATTGGGTAACAAAACGAGTTTTTCGCATACGAATCGCATAACAAATGAACTGGTTCAATTAAACTGAAAATGAACAAACTCACCATTGCGAAGCCGGATAACAGGGCGGACGTCTTGCTGGAGGCCTTCAGCTTGGCTCGGCTGAGCTGGAGCTTGCGCCAGGAGAGGTAGGTGGGCGAGTGTAGATCTTCGCCGGACTGCGACATGCTGCTGCGTCCAATTCGCCGTGGCTGAAAACGAGAGAATTTATGCTCTTGATATGTGCGCAATTGATATGGATATGCACTGGACGAGGACTGTACTATGGAACTGGCTGGCCCAGCAAAATGCGGCAGCGGCGGCGGAGGCGAAGGTTGGGACGATAGCTGCGCGTTGAAGCGACGCGAGCTCGCGTGCGGCGAATTCGAATGCAAATTGCTGTAGTTGAGATAACGCGTCGAATCAAGGTAGCTGCTCGGCCCCGAGTGGGTGTAACGACTAAGATTGTTGGCGCTCTGCGTCTGCTGCGCCTGTTGCTGCTGCTGTTGTTGCTGCTGTTGATGATGCTGCTGATGTTGTTGCTGTTGCTGCTGCTGCTGATGCTGGTTGCTCAGTCTAAGAGGTCGACACGAGTCGCACATGCTGTAGTCGCCATGGCAGTGGTGGCTGGTAGCAGCGGTCGCCGTTGCAGCCGCCGTGTAAGCATCCACACTGGCCGCCAGCCTGGCCGTTGCATGCAGCGCACTGGCCAGCGCAAAGCGTCTGTTCGCCGTTGCGGCGGGCATTGGGCAGCGACCAGAGGCGGCCAATGGCAATGCCAGCGGCTGCGTGCCATTCTCTCGCTCTGCTTCCTGGGTTAACGGTGTGTCTAGCGTCTCGCTGCTCTCAGTGCGCTCAGTCGAAGTCGGCGCGCTGCCATCGAACGAGCTCTGCTGGTGGTTGAGCAGCAGACTGCTGTGGCTGAGATTTGTGCGAGCATAGCGTAGATTTGAGTACATGCTTTTCAAGTGGAGAGGCAGCAGCTGTTCGCTCTCTGCACGCTGCACGGGATCACGCGAACGCCTACGTTCACGCTCACGCCCTCGCTCTTTATCCTGTTGTTGCTCTTGCAGCGGCAACTGAAGCTTTTGGCGACGCGGCGGTTTAAGCGGCACCTCGTCGCAGTCGGAACGCATGTGCAGTTATTTTGTTTAGTTGCTAGCGGCACTCTCTCACTCACCCTCTCTCTTTGTTTCTCTGTTACGCTATCTCTGCATGTGTTTATCGGCCTATGCACGCATCACACACACATACGCGTGTACGTGTATATAAAACGAATATATTTTTTTTTTGAAATTTTAACAGCTTTTATCGAAAGCTAAACTATAAACACTTCTGAGCCGCCTGACAGCGCTTAAGAGAGTGCGCGCAGCAGCCAAAGAGAGCGAAGTCTGGAAATGTTTCAATTCCTTTTGTAAAGCTTTCGCCTTGAGCTGCTCTCGTGTCAATGTGAAAGCTCGTTTCAGCTGGTTGGCTCTGCTGCTGTGTCTGTTATACTTGCTGACGACGATGCTCTGTTGCTGATAGCGTTTTGTTGTTCTTCTAATTAATTAATTATGGTGTTTGCACCGTGTGCTCAGCGCACATGAGAATTGATCAGCAACTACACGCACACACACACACATACACACACTCGCACCTGTGTCTTTTTTTCTACTTGGTTTAATTGTCAGTTTGTTGGCAAATTTTAGCTGTTTTTTTTTTTCTTTTTTTTTGTGTTTTCTTGCGTTCGCCGCCTTTCTCTATTTTGTTCTTTTGTGTGTGTGTGTGGGTTATTTAAATATTTACTTTTTATTTATAAACATTTTATAGCATATAAAATTGCAAAATACATGTGTCAATAAAACACAATTTAGCACGTACGTATTTTAATTCGAGTACATTCAAAACGTACGAAGCGATGCCATAAACGATAACCGATGCCGCACTTGCGATACTTTAATGGAGACGCGTTTTAGGCGTTTTACCGTTTACGGTTTACCGTTTAGCGTTTAACCGTTTTAGTTTTGTTTTTCAATTGTTTATTTGCTATTTATCGTTAAATGTGTTTGACGCTGAAATATTCATTAAACACGAACACGGGGACAAGTTCAGGGCGAGCAGCGCGCGACACGACAATAAATTGAATAGTAAATTGGCTCTGTTCGAAACATTCAATTAATTTCTTTTCGCATTTTGCATTTCGTTTTGCCTTCCTTTCCCAGCCGTTGCTTCTTCGCTCAGTCTTAATGCGTGGCTCTCACTCTCTCTGTCTCTCTCTCTCTCTCTCGCTTGCTCTCTTTCTATTTGCTTGCTCTCTTTGCTCTCTTTTGCTGTCTGTTCCTTGGCAGACATGCGAGCCGGGTGGTGAGTGGGTGGGTGGTGCGAACGCGGGACAACAACGTCTAGTTAACAACTAACTGATACGGCGACGACGACGGCGATGCCGTTGATGCGGCGACTTTGACGATGGTTGCTGAACTGTCGACGGCGGCGCGCGTGATATTCAAATTCGACAATCAATTCGACGACGACGACGACGGCGACGACGGCTGCGGCCTGCGACGACAAAAACAACAACAACAATATAACAATAGACAATCGAATTACAAATGCTATTTGAATTAAAAACCGAATAGAAGGAAACTAAAACATTGCTAGACAGCAGGAGCGGGACGTGACGGGGCGGGGGGCGGGGCCAGGGGGTGTGTGTGTAAAGAAAACGAAAAAAAAGCAACAACAACAACAACAACCAAAACACATAGACAGCAATGAAAGGAAAGATAGAGATAGCGCATGGCAGAGGCAGCAGGAGAGAGCAGCACGCCATTCGTTCTCGTTCTCTCTCTGACTCTCACTCTCACTCTCACTCTCACTCTCTCGCCGTGTCGCTCTTTGGCAATCAATCAGCGCATTTTTCTACCTGTCGCGCATCCGTTGATCATCAATGGGGAAATCAAATGATGAGCATTTGGCATCGCGACTTGACCCTGAACTATGCTGTGATTGAGCAATTGATTGATCACTGATTCAATTAAAGCATGGACATTGGCTCCGCTTGACCCCCTCAATAAGGCAGAGCAGAGCAGAGGCAGACGCTGTTGCAGAGCAAAGTCGGGCCAAGGCCTGACTTTATTGGAATACTTCATTGCAATTGACATGTCGATTGGATTTCGAACACCAATTGACATGACATTCATCACGGCGAATATCATTAAGGCAAGAAGAAGAGTGAGTCACCCGTTTCACCGAGGCAGAGTAAGCTCTCGTCCGTCCCTATGTTTACTAGCCAAGTTTACGCAGAGCTTAAGGGGAATATTGGAAATGAAACACCAATTGACATGACATTCATCGCGGCGAATACCAAGAAGAAGAGCACCCGCTTCGCCGCGGCAAAGCAAACACTCGTCTCTTTATTTGCCGGCGAATTCCAGTTAGAGCGAATATTGAAATTGGAATATTTGGAATTTCTACACCAACTTCCCGTCTGGCAGTCCCGTAGCCTTTCGACTTATCTCGAGAGGATTAACTGATTCTCAAAGGACACGTTTGCCCAGGATTGTATTCAGGATTCTGCAGAAGCTCCAATGTATTGTGCTTAGTTATTTTCGCTCTTACACTCATTAACCTGACATTGGGTTCAATATGTGTATCAGATTATATAGTACTGAATGCATGTGAATAATGGGGAACAACAATAATGTGCCCGGGTCTGAACCTGTTATCTCATAATATAAAAACTGTGTGTCAACAAAAAGTGTCTTGATTTTTCGATTAATAACACAGCGAATGCGCTTTAGTCAAAACTACAGTATTCACTCGATAAAAGTTACATTGAACAGTTAGTATTTTTTTATTAATATTTGCATTCTTTTCGAATTTCTTTCAAAATCCTTTAACTAAAGTATTAAAAACTTGTATGGAAGAATTAATTTACAAGAATTCAGAGCTTTATGCGAATTGGAATTAGAATTGCAATTGGAATTCTAGAGTTAAATGTCAAATGGTAAGTGTGACCAGCGAATATTTAGATTAGTTGGACAACCTTGTTCCATAAACTCAGCCTAGAAATGGATATTACATATTCCCGTGTAGATCACAATTTCAATTTATGCAATTCGTTCAAAAAATATTATGCAAATATGTAAATGAAAGCAAAAAAGCTTGAATAAGACCATGAAATTGTTAATTAAATCGATTTTATGATAGTAAAACAATTTTTTACGGTATATAAAAACGGTTCTTACGCTGCGAATAAGGAATAAATCCATACTACGAACGGAAAATGTAAGAAACTCTGAATAAAGAAAATCTTACCCAGCAACGCCGGGTAATATTTGTTAGATTATTAAATGACTTATCGCTCTATAAAAGAGAATCGAGAATTGAGTCGTTCAGTTGCCTTTTAAAGCAAATTAATATAAACTAATTATTATTATGCACACATACACACACACACATGCACATACACACGCACATACATGATCATATGTATGTATTCCCATAGGGAGTGGGCTTTACAAAGAGCCTAATTTTAATTTATTATCGTATGTAAACAACTGATAAAGCTTGCGGGTGTCGGGAAAATTTGAATTGAAGAGCGAGCAATAAAAAACTGAAGCAAACAAGTTGCAATTTGAGCCGTCCCGACTGTGCAATACTCTGTTCCCAATGTTAGGCTTGTTCCTTGAACTTGGACAGTTGTAATATAATATAAATTTGTTTATTCTTCTTATTAAACTGCCGCAGATATCGACTTCGCCTTCTATGCGTTACAACTTTCACGAGAAGAGTATAATACTCTCCAAAAGGGTATCAATATTTAGTTACATAAATAACTAATCGACATTAAATAGTTTTTTATATTTAATTTAGCATAACAAAATGCACACTAACCAAACTAATATACCCGCTTTCGGGCCTATGCGAAGAAACTAAGAAGCAAACTCCGCTCGATGACGTCAGCAGCGAGATCAAAGTGTAAAAAAAAAGGTTTCGTTCAATATTTCTTAGCAGGTACATAAACGCACACGCACACATTAAAACAATTTGATTCAGACACACACACACGCAGACACACACATGCGCACAGAGAGAGCGCATGTGGGATCTGGTTCGACTTGAAACGGAGGCCAAGTTTAAAGTTTAGACTGGAGATTTGCCCGTGAACCGCGCGTCGAATTTATTGCTGTTGATTTGACACGATTTGAGTGAGAGAGAGAGAGGGTGGGAGCGGGAGGGAGAGAGAGAGAGCGAGTTATAAAGAGAAAGCGCACGACAGAGACGGATAGAGTGTGAGTGTGAGCGGGTGTTGGGATTTGTTGTTCAATGTTCATGAATTGAATTTATTGTTTGAGACTTACCTTTGATAGATTTTGACTGGAAGCGGGCAGCTGCGGTGCCGAGTTGCAAATGCTGGAACGTTTAAAGCTGGTGTTGTTGTTGTTGTTGTTGTTGTTGTTGTTGTTGCCGTTATTGCTGCTGCTGCCCGAGCTGCTGGCAATATTATTATTATTGTTGTTGTTGTTGTTATTGTAGAAATTATGATTATGAAAGGGCTGCAGTTGAAGCAGCTGATGCTGTTGCTGCTGCTGCTGGCCAGTGGCAATGGTTGTGGCGGCGGCTACCGCTGCGGCGACAACGTGCTGAAAATGCTGAGCGTTGGCTGACGTGGAAATCTCGCTGCCAATTGGCTGCACAAGGGTGCTCAGATTTAGGTTGCCGGCGGTGGCGGAGCGCTGAGCGGGACTGAGGGATTTGATCGTGGACGGCGTCTGGCTGGTTGCGTCTAGGCCGTTGCCTGCAGAGCTTGCGGTTGTCCACACAGACATCTTGTGCGAGATGCAGCGGTAAATTTCCTTAGCTGGGCATCCATTTTGCACGAATTCCAATGCAAAGCAACAACAGAACGAACACGAAAAAAAAACGCAAATATAAGAAGAGACACACAAAAGACAGCGACACGTAGGCGCGACAATGAACATATACAAAAACGTTTAAGTACGACGAGTGTGTGTAAGTACAAATTAAAATTAAAAACAGTTGCACAGTTTAAGTAAAATTACATATTAAATATATTTAAAATTGCTTTGTGTGTGTGTGTTTTCTACATATTAAGCGAAAATGTTGTGCAAATGCGGAACAACAAAAACAGACTGACGCTACGGCTGCTGCTGTTATCGATAACAACAGCGCGCTGTTAGCTCGCATGAGCTGTTAGCTCACACAGCTGTGCTAACAGCGCGCTGTTATGTGCGTTAACATTTGAAATGGCAACCACAGCTGGCAACGCTGGCAAGCAGGCGCGCCATATTTGAATTTCCCTTTATTTTGGACAAATTTTAAAAGAAGCACGTTTAAGTTGTTTCTTAAATTTGCGTGTTTGCTTTAATGCAAGTATTGGGGAAATACAATAGAAAATGCGCTAAATAGCAGCTTGCCATTGGGCCCATTAATCAAAACGCCCACGCTAATTAAATATATAAGTTTTCAATGCAAATAACTGAAAATCCGCTGGCTGTGACACACATTTTAATTTGCAATTCTTATTGTTGCTCTTTGCTGATCGTTTTTCACACAATTTGCTTTGCTCGCTTCCGGCGTGGGCGGTATTTTATTTTTGTCAAGTAGCCGCTGGCTATAACCAATGTATCTGCATATGCGTATGCATAAGTATCTGTATCTGTATCTGTATCTGTAGCTGTAGCTGTATCTGTATCTTTATCTATGCAACACCTTCACGCGCCTTGAACTTGCCAGCCTCGTCGGCCTCAAACCACTTGCCCCAAAAGAAAAATATGCAAATGCCTTTATGTAGATAGACAAATATCTTTCTCTCTCTCTCTCTCTTTTGGTGCTCTGTGAATTAATTTGGCAAATAGATTCAGCTAGAGATACTTTTGTTGCCAAGCCCAGGTCATGTGCCTTTTTGGGCCAATATCTATGCAGCTTTATTTTATTTGTTATAAAACGCAAATTTGTTCAATAGATTTTGCGGCGCCTTTCAAGGTGTTACAAAAATAATACACTGTGTCTTATCGCGGCGGCCCTATCAGCGGCTCGTTATGACGATTTGTTTGTTTTGAAATGAAAAATGGCGGGAGCAGGAGAAGAAGGCAGTGGCAGAGGCAAAAACTAAGTCAAATAGAGTTCAAATAGTCAGAGCTACATATGTTGCATGCCTAATGCCAATTGCATTCGCTGTGAACGTGATGAGTAGGATCGGGAGCCACAAACCAGAAACGGGGCCCACGTGTTGGCCCAACAATTAAAGCCAATTAAAATCAATAAATCGTCTCAAGTACAATTTTCTGTTGGCCCTCAAAGCCAGCTGCGTCAGCTGCCAAAACTTCAAGCTGCGATTTTTTGTTCTTTCTATTTTGTTTCTGATTATTTTTATGCGCAAAGAAGTCGCAATGTCACGGGCTAATAATAAACCTTTTTTACTCAGAAAATTCACTTACGATAACACACAATGCAACAACAACAACAACAACTAGATATGCCAAGCAACAGTTGGAGGTCTTTGAAAAATTGTATGTAAATGTGTTTGTTTATTTTAATGCCCTGTAACTTTTAAAATTAGGTTACAAGGGTATAATCACGTTAGGCAATCGCATGTAACGGGCAGGTGAGAAATATTTCAATCTAATGCTCAAAACCTTCAAAACTGTTATATTTCGCAAAGCTCTTCTATGAGATTTTTATTGTCCTCAAATAAAGCAAATGCAATCGAGGGTAAACGCCATTTTATTGATAAAGTTTCATTGCTCTTCTAGGCGATTCTCATTGCCATTTTAAATTTCACTTGGTCTTTGTACCGTTTAATGCCCTTCTATGCGATTTTCATTGCTGTCATGCACTCAAAGTGAAACGCCATTTGCCTTTGTACAATTTTGTTCTTAACCTTTTAATGAAAATTTCAAAAACTTAATTTTCCTTCATAGTTTTAAAATATACGCATTTCTTAATAAATGCTGCCAAAAACTCGGCTCTCTGTCATAGTGAATATGCCTTTTTTGGGCTTTACTTGCTCTATTTTTAGTTGAATTGTATTTATCCATTTTCACATGCATTTAATCTAACATTTATAGGCCTTATATGAATTAATGAAAATCGCATAGAAAGGCTATGCTTAATAATTTAGATCTCTTCTCTTCTATCTCTCTCTCTCTCATGCTACATTGAATTCATGAAAATCGCATAGAAGGGCGATGTGAAAGTCGTTCGCTCTTTCCCTCTCTCTCCTCTTTTTGTCTCTCTCTCTCTGTTTCCTAAAAATGTGTAGGCAATTCGCAAAAGAGTACAGGGTACCATCTAGTCAGCCATTGCCCGCTTAAGTTTTCTATGTACTTATATCGCAAATGAATTTGTTTACCGCTTTCATATAGTTTTTGTTGACGTTTTTTTTTATTTTATCGTATGACGTGCGTAAAAAAAAGAAAAAAATGTAAAACCTAATCAATAGAAGAATACGATAAATAACTAAAGCTGCAGATAGAAAGGAAAATAATAAAAAATAGGTGAATGTAAAAACAGTTTAGAAGAAGTCTATTTACTCTTGAGCTAGAGACAGTTTCTTGACATGCTTTTGAAATCTACGACAAATATTTAAACAGATATTCCATCTATTTGAACAGATATTTTTTAAAATAACATTAACATCTATGTTCATACAAAAAAATTCAAAAACGTTTAAGAATGCGACACAAAGTGGAAGGGAAAGAAGAACACGTAAGGGCAAGCGACATAACCTTATGTCAACGCAGACAAACAAAATTTACGAATGCGATACAAAGAAGAGAAAGAAGTGTGGAAAAAACCTACGTAAGTGCGAACGAGATAACCTTATGTACATACAGCTGCAAAACATTTAAGAATGCACAACACAGAAGAAGCAAAAGAAGAGTCTTACGTAATACGTAAAATGTTACGTACACGCAAGCACAACACATTTACGAATGTGACACATAGAAGAAGCGAAAGAAGAGTTGCCAAGACTTACGTAATACGTAAGCGCGGGCAAGAAAATGTTACGTATGCGCAAGCACAAAACATTTACGAATGCGCCACAAAGAAGAAGCAGCGAAAAGCGCTGAGAGAAGTAATTCGTCACCCGATTATATGAAAGTAAATGAATCAAATAAACATATAAATTATCATTTTGAAATGCAATTGTGTTTTTTTAATGCTTAATCGAGAGCTTAAAATGCTAGAAAATAAAACCAGAATCGGTAGGTACAACAATAGACAAAGCTAAGTACGCGGCATAACTAAAAGCTAATGGACAAGATAAACATCACATGACAATAGAAATAAAAAGCCCCCCAAACGGGTAAATACCCGCTCGCTGAGCTGTCTAACAAATTAACTTAAGTAAGTAGGGCTAACAATTTCAGATATTCAATAGATACATATACTAGATAGATGGGAATGGGAATGGGAATGCGAATACTCCAGCTTAAATCTTTGTTCAGCGTATCGTGTGCTCAATGTGACCCATGGACTGTTTGCGCTGATTGTTGACCTCGAAGCGTTCCATGATCTTGGCGACAATCGACGAGGGCGGCTGATCGGAGCTGGAGGTGAGGCCGCGATAGCCCAGAGCGCTCGAATCGGCCAGGGAGCTGGCCAATTGCAGACGCTTGACAAACGCCTCCGTATCGATGCCCGGCACCTTGGAGGGCTTGAGGAAGCGTTTCGGTATGCGCGACAGCATATCCTCGGTGCCGACGGGCCCGAAGCCCAGATTGATGAGTATCGCCTCCGGATCCGGTTTGCGCGACTCCAGCAAGCTGTCCACGCTCGAATACCGGCTCGAGTCCGACTGCATCGAGACGGAGCTGTCCCGCAGCAACAGGCTGCTGAAGCGATGCTGTCGCACCGCCTGCGGACTCAGCTCCGGCGCCGTGCTGCACGAGTCAAAGGACTCCTCGTGCCGCAGGCAACGTCCATTCTGGGAACTGCCGCCGCTGCTGCACGAGACGTGCCGCACATGCGGCTCAAAGTGCTTGCCCGGCAGCCGGGGCATGATTAGCGGCTCCTCGGCTGCATCCGGATCGGCGTTCTCCTCCAGATCTGCCGCATAGGCGCACTCGCATTCCGTGTCGTCCACAATGACGGACTGCTGTCGCTGCAGCTTGCGGCGCTTGCGCAGCGGCTTGTTGGGCGGAAAGTGCGCCATGGAGCTGGCGGCGATGCTCTTTGGCAGATTGTCGCTGCTGCCGGCGTGCGGCTTGTGGACGCCAGATGCAGGCGACGCCTCCGCCTGCGGACCCTCAAAGTTGCTGCAGCTGTGCGAACGCTCCATTCTCTACAGGTGTGTACAGGTGTGTGCACAGGTGTTTGTGTGTGTACGTGTGTGTGTGTGTGTTGTTGTTGTTGTTGACTTCAAGTCACGGCTGCTTGAATTACGTGCGCGCTGCTGAGCTAGGCTATGCTCATATTTGGTAAGGGGTAAAAACCGACACGCTTCCGAGCTGGCGCTCAAGATCGAGATCGAGATCGAGATCGAGATCAGGTTTGTGCTCGATGACGAAACAGCAAGGCCTGGAAACTGGAAAAGGCCTCGAATCTGGCTCCGACCTTGTCTCTGGCTTTGTCTTTGGCACTGTCTGTTTCTCTTATGGTCTCTAGAGCTGGCTCTGCCTCTGGCAGCTTCTCTAGGTTTGTCTCTGGCAACTTCTCTGGCTTTGGTTCCTTATCTTAGGCTGGCTCTGTCTCTGTTTCTCTGCCTGGCATTCGTTGCCGCCGGCTCTGCCTCTGGCAATTCTTCTGGCACCTTCTTTGGCTTCGTGTCTCTGGCGCTGGCTCTGTCTCTGGTTCTCTTCTCTCCCTCTCTCTCTCTCTCTCTCTCTCTGTGACACCTTCTCTAATAGTCTTTCGCTTTGTCTGTGACGATGGTTTTTCCTCAACCTTTGTTCCTGGCTCTTTATCTGTCTTTGGTTATGTCTCTGGCGCCTGCTCTGCCTCTGGCACTGGCACCTGGCTTTGGTGATGATTCTGTCTCTGGCTCCTTCTCTGGCGCCTTCTCTGGCTTCTTCTCTGGCTCAGGCTCTGGTTCCGTCTCCGGGTTCTGCTCTGGCTCTGCCTCTGTCTCCTTCTCTGTCTCAGGCTTTGCCTCAGGCTTTGTCTCTAGCTCCTTTTCAGCTTGTCCCTGGCTGTGTCTCCTCTTCTCTGGCCCTGAGCTGCAGTCTCTGGCCAAGACGATTTGTGTGCGGCGTATTTAATTTATTTAATTTATTTGTATTGATATTTGTTTAATTCGATGTCTGTTTTGCTGCATCAACAACGATTACGACAATAATTTCAATTATTTGCCTTCTTTTTTTCTTTCTTTTTTTTTTTTTTTTGTTCTGTGCTTTGTTTTTTTATTTATTGTTTTTTTGTGAAAAAAAACACACACACACAAAACGTGTTTCGCGCCGTTTCACCTTATTAGTCGTTTATTTGTTGCTTTTTTGTTTTGTTGTTTGGCTTTATTTTATTTTATTTTATTTTTTTTTGCTTATTTCTTGCTTCTCTCTTTTGTCGCTCAGTTGTATTGAACGTTAATCAGCCGCTGAGCACTTCTGACCCCGGATTCGATCGGACGGGCAGCACTTGACATTGATATGCGAAGACGGAATTCGGGCGGAATTTGTGCAATTGAATACGAAAAAAACAAAACAAAACAAGGTAAATGGCAATGTTTCGTCAAGTGTCTGGCAAGAGTTGAGTTCGACTGGCACAGCTTTATTTAATTCGATTTCTATTATGATTGTTATTTATTTATTGTTAAGTACACAAATCAATTATAGAGTTTAGCTCTCTGCCGCTCTTCCGCATGCAAAGCTAAACCGCACGGCGCAAACTGATCTTCAAAACTGAAACTGAAATCACGAAACGGCAGGCGGGCAACGCCGCGAGGCACGCGAAGCCGCTGCCAAAGCTCGCGGAGAGTTTGTAGAGATTGCGCGAGTGGAAGAGCGGCAGAGAGGCGAGCGCACGCGCTAACTCTCCAACGCGCGCACGTGTGCATGTGTGTGCGTGCGTGCGTCCGTGTGAGCTGAGAGCGCAAATTGGAAATTGTTTTGCGGGCATTCAACAATTTTCTCGAGCACGACGCGAATCTATAAAAACTTTTGATTAAAAGCACAACGTTTTGCGGTTAACATTGCGCCTCCTCCTCCTCCTCCTCCCTGCCCCTCTTACACACTCAGTCCACCGCTCGCAATGTCTTGTGCGCACAGGCGCCGTCGAAAGGGGGCTTAAAGCAACTTATTGCGCCTTTTGAGCTATTTCGACTAGACGACGCCTTTCGCTCGCTTTTATGTTTTTCAAATATAGATAACTAAAATATTCTATCCATATCTAAATTTCTAAATGTCGCATTTTAAAGATAGCCTGCTAAATATTAATTTATTGTATTTAACACGTTCTCTGAACGTGGTCGGAGACTTCTTGAAGGGCCCGCCATTAAACGGCCCAAACGGCTGTGGGCAAAACCCGCCATTCGAAAGCATGACAAACAAACATGTTTCACTGTGGTGGGAGAGTGCAGCGCAAAAGCTAACGGATCGAAGCTTTTGGGCAGCTGATCGCGTGACAAGCTTTAACGGTAAGCGGGGCGAGCTTTAAATGCAATGCCAATATGTCAATGGTTAGGAATTCTACAAAACGAAAATAAACATGTTAAGCAAGTCGACTTCTAAATGCCCTTACGCATATTCTTGTCTCTAGGAAGTTTTGTGATTGAATAAATATATTTAATAAATATTTATAAATATAAAGCATGAATTCAAAAACTTTAACTTTACTTTCTTTGCAAGAGAATGCGACATGTTCATGGCCAACACCAACAACAACAACAACAAGAACGTAATCAACACGAAGAAAAACATTGTTTAAAGGCTTTGTTAACAGTTCATGAAAAGTTGTTGCAAGAGTCTTAGCCGCAATATTGATTACTCGAACCCATTTGGAAATGTGTGCCAAGATAAAAGCAAAAGTCAATTTACACAAGACATCAACAAAATTTGGCTTTTGGTATCTTTCGCTGAAATACTAACAAAAAAAAAAAGAAGAAGACGGAAAACAAATGAAAAAACGTGAAGCCATAAATTTGTATATGATCCATTTCAGCATTTGCCAACAGCCCCAACCCAAACAAATCCAACCCCATTTAACCCGACAAACATTTAATAAATAAGCGGAATCTATTTTTAGAAAAGTAACAAGAACGACTAATAAATACCCTGGCAGGACTTTGACCGAAAAGAGTAAAGCTTACAATTGCCGATTTGGTCAAAAGAATATTCAAATATTAAATATATTTAAAAGAAAAACTCTGGGTTCGACAAATTCTTGATTGGATTTATAAGGATATCAAGCTATATATATATAGAATACATATATGTAGTAGAAGTCAGGTTTGGTTAAAATATGTATTGTAGCATGTTACATGATAATTGATAATAAAATAGGTTTTCATACTAGAACTTGATAGAACTTTTGACTTATCTTCCCTATGACAGCTATATTATATATGATATCCGATTTTACCGAAATTTGTCGAGAAATCTTGATAAGCAAAATAACAAGACCTGAACTGCATTCTGCAGAAAAGCCAACTTGTCCAGAGACTCTTGATGTTATATTTAAAACAGAAAGATTAGTTGATTTATGAGATCGAACCTGCCTTCTAGATAATACTCGAGAATATATAAGCTTTAGAGGAACAGATATGTCATCTTTATACTGATCGAGAATATATATACTTTATGCTGTCAGATATGTGTTATAGTATCATGATCGATAATATATATCTTAATGGGATCCTTGATAATGATCGAGAATATATATAGTTTATGGAGTCGGAGGTGTCTCCTTCTGACTGTTACATATTGCATGTCAAAATTATAATTACTTTTAGAAGAGTATGGTAAAAAAAAAAGAAAACTATAATAATTACATAAGTTAAATAATTAGCTGGCAAGAATTCCACTTAAAAAAATCGATAGGAGGGGGCAGTGAAGGGGGAACCGCATTCAAAATAAGGCCTGAAACATCTGGAGGGAAGTCTCATGAGAGAGAGAGAGAGAGAGAGAGAGAGAGAGAGAGAGAGGAAAACAGGTGATAAAGGTCGTCCAGCCCGGCGGATATTCCAAAACGCAATCGAGACTCGCGCCAGCATGATTTGAACTTTGCTTCCTTCCAAGCATGCATTCATATACTATATACACACATATATGTATATATATTCGACATTTGAATGTAATTATAAATGTTGATAAATGATTAACACATTGCATTTGCACATGCATCGTCAGAAGTTAACAATTAATGCTCTAACTAATTGCAAAATAAATATAATATATAAAAAAAAAAATAAATAAAACAAATTAAATTGTTGCAGTTTTATTCACACGGTTATGAAAGATTATTATAAATGTATACGTTAGCATATATGTATTTATTTATATATGCATCCCAACCGTGTCCCAGGCACAATAACTGTTATTACCCGCCTCTGATAAAATACTTGGAAGACAAGTAAGCGGTTCTAGTCGGGAGCTCCCGACTAGGGTATACCCTGAACCCTCTTGTTCCAACATCAAATGCATATATATACATATATTCTATTTTAGAAGCTATATGTCAAGTTTGGTGACTCTAGCTCTTATTATTTACCAAAATTGCCCAAAAAACAGGATATCGATATCGATTTTTATCGATTGCTTGGAAACGGAGTAGGTTATCGATTATCGGAAACAAACTCGATCTGCGCGGGCACTAGGAGCACCTACATCTAAAATTTCACGTCTCTATCTCTTATAGGTTCAGAGATCCTTGAGTTCATACATACGGACGGACGGATGGACGGACGGACGGACGGACAGACAGACGGACATGGCTAGATCGACTCGGCTATTGATGCTGATCAAGAATATATATACTTTATGGGGTCGGAGATGCTTCCTTCTGCCTGTTTTGCCTGGATTTTGCACAAATACAATATACCCTTATACCCATTTTTAATGGGTTCAGGTTATAAAAAAAGAAGAAGAAGAAAAAGCAAATATCATCAGAGGGAGTCGAGGAGTTTTCTGGTTCGCGTGCCGTCGCACGGAATTGTTCATCAGTAACGGGATTTTCGAACTGGAACCGTTTCTATTCGAACCATGTGCTATTGGATCGCGCCCTTTCAATTGAATTTAATTGCTTTCGAATTCGAGCTGTAAACATTTGCAGTACAAAGTATTTAAGTGGGGCATGCACGACGTGCAGATATCCTGCAATAGGTTATTCGTAAGGCAAAGAGTAAATTGGCTGTTTTCGATACTTTTCGAAGTTTGCAGATTGGTACTTTACAACACTGGTATTTTATAACAGACACATATGCAATTCTACCTTCTTCCTCCAAGAACGTCTACTTCCAAGTCTGGAACGTCTACTAACATTCTATTTAACTCGATTTGTGGAATTTCAAAATTAATTTATGTGAATTTATCATTCGTCTTTCATACGCCCCGCCCCGTATGGCATACGCCACATTTGATATATGTGTGCCTACATAATTAATTTGCTGGCCTCAAGTCTTATAGTTTCCTAGTTCGATTGATTCGAGGTTTACACACACACAAGCACAACCTTAAAATGCCCTTAAGCGCCTATTATTTTTACAGGGTATAGAAATGAAAGTATTTAATGCAAGGAAGTGCAACAGTTTTTAATAAATTATATAATTAGTATAACTCAGATTCTTACCTGTGGCAGATGCTCAATAAAAGTGCTTCAGAACAAGAAAACAACTCAATTAGCTTGCATTTGGTTATGCGTGAAACCGTTATCGAGACGTTCGTTAGGTAAAAATTTTTGTATAACGGCGTCTGCAACTGTTTGCGCTTTCTAAGCCAATCGGAATTCCAGAGCTTGCAAATGCAGGGCAAAGACAAAGACAGAGACAGCTAACGGAGAGCGCGACAGCGACAGCGACCACTATAACTGTAAATCACAACCGGCGCGATGCACACGCAGCAGCGAACTGAGTAGTGAAAAATGGTGAATGGCTTTTCACTTGGCTTCTATTGTTATGTCTTCAAGTTGGTTTATCTGTGGCGCGTAATCAGCTTTTGTCATTCGCGCTGACATTAGAGATCATCTGGGATCTTATCTTTACTGTGTGCACACACATACTCACACACACACTTGCAAACACGCACGCATTAACTGTCACAAAATTCAGGCCTTGTATGCTTAGAATTTGTTGTAAGTGTGCAAAATTGTTGGCAGACTATTTTTATCGTTTTATATTTTGTGCAATTTGTAATTAACTGTAACTGTAACTGTAAAATGTCTGGACAACAGGCGACAGCAACAACACCGCCAAAAAGAAAAACTAATACTGAACTGCCAAAAGCCAAGCAGACGACGACGACGCGTTCGTTTCAAAGTAGTTTGCATGCGGCGCAATGTGAAGAGAGCGAGAGCGAGAGAGATTCGAACAACAGTTGCAGGCAGGCAGGCAGCAGGCTGGCAGCGCTGTTGCCATAGCAACGTGTCTCAGAGTGGATAGCGCACTCGCGAACAATTTGATGCATGCTAGTTAAGCGCCTAATTGAGTGGGCGCTCTTGTGCACAGCATGTGGGCAAATGCAGCTTTCTCCGGCATATGCTACAGGTCTGGCAACACTCACACCCCTAGCAGCAACAGTTATGCTAGAGTGCGAGAGTGCAAACGATGCATGCTGTATGCTCTGCTGTTCGCACACTGTTAACATGCTGTTATAACAGCGGCAGCGCTGCCAGCAGAGCCTCGCGCCATTTTTGAACATTGAATTTCCGGTTGAAATCTCTGTTAAATGATTAAACTTAAAAGTATTTGCGATAAGTGGCAGATAAGGTATCTAAACATTTAGATAGGCTCTTAAATGATCTAATTTGTGCAAATATTGTTAAGTAAATACATAGAACGTTTACTTTTTGTTCTTTATTTAAATTTTGTGTATTCATTATGATAATATTGTACAATTTGTTCATTTTTGTTTTGTTTTGTTTTGTGTTGTGTTTTGAAAATTTCTCAAGCTCACATACATACACAAATCGCATGAGTTTCACTTGCGCTCAGTTTCAGTTTTACTTTTAACTTTTACTATTTTTCGCGGAATCTTTTCCAACAGGTAACAAAAAATAAATTATTGGCTTTTTATATATATATATATATATATATAGAGATATATATGTATACAACATATATGTATATATATATTTTATATAGACAGAGCATAAAACTTATCAACTACAACTAAACATACAGATTTATAACATGTCGGCAAGATATTCGATTCTCATTCTCATTTGTAAAAACTCTTCTTCCGCTATTCTCATTTATATATTATCATTATTATTATTATTATTATATTCATATATCTTGAATTATTAAGTTTAAGGTTTAGACTATAACTAAAAACAAATTGTGATGTACAACACCGAAGATGACGAAACTTGTTAAGAAATGTTGCTTACATTTTAGACAAGAAAGAGCATAAGCTTGTGTGTGTGTGTGTGTGTGTGTGTGTGTCGGTGTATTGTTAAAAATAATAAACAAATTATAATATAATATTGAGCATTGAACGTGATGCGGAGAGTATTCGTGGAAGGAAGAAAACAAAAGTTATGAAGCAAAAGCTTTCAAGTTTCTTGCGGTTACACTTCACGTTAATTGTAATTGTTGTTTAAACAATTGTTAATTAAATTAAGTAAGCTGTTAATTATGGCAAACAAAGATTGTAAACGCACAATGTCATATATGTGAATGTATATGCTGCATAAAATTTCAATTATCCTTTATGTTTATATGTTCATTACGATATATATGATATATGTATGTGTATATATTATCATTATCATTAACATTATTATCATTATTATCATTATTATTGTTATTGTTATGGTTATTGTTCTCACTACTCGATATTGTTGCTGCGTTTGTAGTTTATTTATAATTTTGTTTGTTTTGCATCAACTTCGTTGCGTTGATTATTTTGTAGATTTTTCTTGTTTTACAACAAATGCACACAATTTATTTTTCTTTTTTTTGTTCCGTTTTTGTTTTTTTTGTTTTTGTTTTTGTTTTTTGATTGCCTTAACTTGGACTTAATTAAGATTTTTATCAACATGTTTTATTGCAGAGCGACTTATATATGTAAAAGTTAATTACTTTAAAGTGTGTTCTTTTTCACAATTTTTTTCTTCTTCTTTTTGTTTTTGTTTTTGTTTTTCGTTTTGTTCTAGGCATTGGAAGCAAACATATGGACAAAATCTGTCGTATTTTTAATTTTTTTGTTTTTGTTTTTGTTTAGCAGAGATCCTAATTATTTTTAAGCATATAATTCAACTTTCATACAAAAAATATATATATATATATATATATCATATAATTGTATAGCCACAAGTAACAAGGGGTTTTAAGTAATTAGCCAGAAATGAGTGTGGAAATAGTTCCAGGAGCATAGAACAAACGATTTTGTTATTCATTTATTTACGAATTCATTTTACAAAAAAATTATTTCGATTTCAACAATAAGAAATGCTTAAGACAAGCTTTATATAGAGCACAATTGAAATAGGCTTAATTCTGAAAGGGAATTTCGAAGAGAATTTTGGAGTTTTGTATATCTGGCATGGACCTAGGGTCGGGCGTTGAGCAAGAGGCGAACTTACGTTCTACTGGACAGACATTTTGCACTCTATTCTTGTTGTCTTAAAATAAGTATATATATATATGCATAGATATGTTTTTATAAATACATAAAGATGATATTTTTACTTAATTACAGCATTTTTTTTTTGTTTTTTTGTTTTTTTTTTTTGTATTTGTTTTTCATTTATATATATTAACATAGCGAGAGTGGAAATTTGTTAAAAAATTTAATGTAATCTCATTGTTACTAATGTAGCTAACACAAAAACAATTACAACTAATGGTTTTGTATTGTTCGATTCCGAATATTGTTCAGTTTTACACACACATATATATGTATATAGATACATTATACATATATATTCATAATTATGTATTCATATCGAGCGCTTAGCCTAGCTTATGGTTTATTTTGAAAAAATGGCTTATTGAAACAACTTTTGTTAGCAAAATTGTGTCCACATTTTGTGTGTGTGTGTGTGTGTGTGTGTTTTGGGGGGTGTGTGTGTGGTTTTTGAGAGCAAGTACTACTGATTGGGCAGCTCTGTGAGCGTCACATCGTACAGGTCGTCCTCGATCTGTTGCACCTCCAGCAAGAAAATGTCCTCGTTGCAGTAGAAGGATATCATGTCATCATCAATTTTCGCCGTAATCCTGCAAGAAATTGGACATACACATATATATATATATATATATAAAGAATAGCATATAGCTCGGATCAGTAGTTGGTTTTTTCTTCTTCTTTCTTTATAAAGCACCCAGGCCAGTTGAGCATTGGTTAGTTTTAGGCTACGGGATGAGTGTTGAGTGAGACTTGAAATTCATATTTTACTTTTTTTTTTAATATTAATGATGTATATAGCCAAGGTGCAGGTGTGTGTGTGTGTGTGTGCTTGTGTGTGTGTGTGTGTGTGTGTGTGTGTGTGTGTGTGTGTGTGTGTGTGTGTGTGTGTGTGTGTGTGTGTGTGTGTTTGTGTGTGCGTGTGTGCGTGTGTGTGTGTGTGTGTGTGTGTGTGTGTGTGTGTGTGTGTGTGTGCGCGTGTGTGTGTGCGTGTGTGTGTGTGTGTGTGTGTGTGTGTGTGTGTGTGTGTGTGTGTGTGTGTGTGTGTGTGTGTGTGTGTGTGTGTGTGTGTTTGTGTGTTGGTGTGGTGACTGTTGTATATGTGTGTGTGTGCGTGTGTGTGTAGCACTTGACACAGCTGCCTTACTTACCCCTTCTTATTTGTGCGATAAATGTTATTTATGCTCGTTGTTGAGATTTTGTATTTGTTTTCAATCTGCAATTGAGAAACGAGAGAAATATGATGTTTTGTCTGTTGTGTTTTGCACGAGTAGCGAGTTGCGAGTAACGACTAGCGAGTAACGAGTAACGAGTAACGAGTAACGAGAGAGAGAGACAGAGAGAGACAGCGAGAACGAGAGCGTGTATAAACAAGAAAAACTAACTGGAAAACTAAAATATTTCTCTTATAACTCTTGTGTGTGTTTGTGATTTTGTTCATTTTGAAAAACTTTGCAGTTTTCTCGTTGGTTTCAAATTGATTGTCAGCCAATATACGATATTTAATATTGCCCCAGTAAAATAAATAAGAACTGTTGCCTGTGCCATTTTCTTTTTGTGTTGGGTTTAGTGTAGTTATATTATGGATAGATATACACATATATAGTATATATATATTGAATTTGATTTATTCAATTGAACGTTTCAGCTAGTGATGTGTGTGTTTTGGTTTGATGAGGTTTTTATAGCTGGTTTTATGTGACTTTGGTTACGACGCTGCAATTAGTTTCAACTACGATAAACGTTCCTTGATTTAATATATATATATATATGTATTTAATTTGTTTTCTTTTAGGATGAATAACGATTGATATGAAGTTGGGTTTTATTTATATATATATATAGATGCTTTAGTTGAGTTTATGCATTAACTTTGGCCAGTTATGTTTTTAATTTTTGTTTTAAGAGCACCTCATTCTTCAGCTTTGAACATTTTGGGTTTGAATATTTGTTTTGATTTTTTTTTTTTAAATATTCTTTTTTTCCGATTTAACCAATTCGACCAAAATGAACAAAATTACAGACGTTAGAGTTTTGGGTATTTTTTTTTTTATGTATATATATAGTTGTTTTTTAGGCTGATTCGTGAATTTTGTTTTGGGTTGTATTACGTTGTGGATAGGGGTCACATGCTGGGTCAGCTGCCGCTTCACCTTAGCTCAGCCCCAAGACTTACCGCATTCAGCAGGCCAATTGTGGTCGGCGGCACCACGTGCAGCGGCGTGTAGACCTCCTCGTTCTCCTGCCGCACGTACAGCATGACGCGCTCCGTGGTCGGCGGCGTCATCCGGCCACGTTTCATGGGCGGCCCAAAGTCGGACATGGGCGTGCTGGTTAACATGCTCTGATCCAGTATATGATCCTTCTTGTCACTGCGAGAAGGGATATTTTTTATTAGTCTCATGCTCGTGGGCAGCTGTAGCTGCGCGTCCTTTTGCTGAGAAAGGTGGACGATTTTTACTCACGTCTGCATGTCGGGCGGAAAATGATTGTGAAACTTGAGCGTGGGCGTGGCCACCTTCTGGCCGTGCAGCAAGAAAGGCGAGGCGCCCTTCAGTTCCGGCGAGTCAGTCTCATGGCCATAGAAGCTCTGTCAGAAAGAGAGAGAGAGAGAGAGCGAGAGAGGTGTGGGGGTGGGGGGTGGTGTGAGTGGGTGTTGGATCAAATTTGTGGCAGTTTGTACTTACCTTCTCCATATCCTCGGCGGGCGAGAAGAGCACGGGCGGCTTGGCCAGATCCTGCATGCCATAGAACTCGGAACGATCTGTGACCGGATGATAGAGCTCGTCCAGCTTCTTGCGTCCGGTGGCTGTCATTTTGCGCTTGGCCGCGCGGCGCTCCTCATCGCGCGTCTTGCGCTCTGCGCCCTGTTTAAAGAGAGGGGAAGAGAGAGGGAGGGAGAGAGGTGAGTTAAGCTGCTGCGAAAGGTGGGTCGGCGTTTTGGGCGCTTACGCAAGCTTTTGGCCAGGTGTGTGTCTGTCTGTGTGTGTGTGTGTGTGTGTGTGTGTAATTAGCAATCAATCAAAATGCATGGGATGCACACATATTTCGTTTATTGCCTTTTTTTTTTTGTGCCTCTCTTTTATAGAAATTAATTAAATTCGCGCATGTGGCATAAGCCTGCCACAGCCGGTGGCAGGCAACACTCGACTGCAACAAGCTGCCAGTTGCAGCCAGTTGCTGCCACAAACAAGTTTTGTGTGCCACCAACGCGGCCAGGCACCGTTAGGGTCACAGCCCAAAAGCAACAACAACAACAACAACAACAACAACGAACTCGAAAATAGCCATGATTATTTCTGACTTTTTGTTTTTTTGTTTTTTTTTTTTTTGCTTTGCCGTTAAATTATTATAAAATACTTAGCAGATGCTGCATAAATATGCATGCATCATAAATAATGCGGCGGCGCCCCAAACCAAATGGCGCACACGTTGACTCCCAGCTCCAAGCCTGGCCAATTGCCCACCTGACCAGCAGCGGCAGCTCGATTTGCTTGATTGCCTGTGAGTGAGCGGCTAGCACACACACACTCGCACACACTCGCACACACACACACACACACTCGGCTGTGATTGCTGGTTTGCGTGTAAACAGATTCTTCGCTCTGCACTTTGCATTTGTAATTAAAAATCTGCAATTGAGGCGCGCAGGAAGTGATATACCCCCCTACACCTCCCCCCTCTTAAATCAACCCTGCCCCCACCCCTTCTTGTAGACAATCTTTAGCTGCTCTGGTAGCCATTTTTTATGGTCTTTATATTAGTTTTTCTTCTCTCTGCTCAAGTTATGCAAGGATGTCGACTGTGCGCACATACACACACACACTCACACACACACATATATACTACATATGTACATGCTGGCTACCTATAAGACCCCCCCCCCCCCTCACTTCCCCTCGCACAACTGTTGCTCTGTTGCTGCGCTGCGCTTATCACAGCTACAAATTTTGCCTAGAGCATTCGCTGCACAACTGCTAAGCATCTGTGTGTGTGTGTGTGTGTGTGTGTGTGTGTGTGTTGGTGTGTGTTGGTGTGCCTGCATGTAAATAACTGTATTTTATTACATACTTTTATTTTATCTTGGCAAAAATATCGCCAAAGCTGCGCAGACAGCGGCTCGAATCGCCGCCAATGCGGTCAATGTTCGCCGTCGCCGTCGCTGCCAGCTTTAGCTTCAGCTTCTTCTGCTGCTGCTGCTGCTGCTGCTTCTTCTTCGACATTATCTTCTGCTTCTTCTTGGCAAACGAGTGGCTTGAGTGCTGGGGTGTGGGGAGCAGGAGCGGGAGGGGGGGGGGGGGGCCTTCATATTTGCTTAACTGCGATAGTCACAAGCGATAACCCAATTTTCGCCATTTTCGGGCATATCGATTATAATGTGTTTATCGATAAATTTGATATATCAACTTTCTCTGTGCCAAAGTGAGTTTATCTACTGCAAATATCGAGAATATTTCCTATAAGAAACCTACAGAAAGAAGGGTTATATAAACCCATTTTAAGTAAATATAATAAACAAACTAATTTATTGCACATATTTGAGGAACAACTTAGATAATGCTATTCTATGGAACTTCGATAAATTTGATGAGCTTTCCCTGTGCCAAAGTACATTTATCTAAAGCGAATATAATAATGTGTCATTCTATATACTTGAAGCACAGCTTAAGTAATTGTGATCTATGAAACTTTGATCGAATTTGATCAACTTTCTCTGTGCCAAAGTCAATTTATCTAAAGCATATATCTAGAAAGTGTCCCAATCAGTTAACTTCTCAAAGAAGAGTTTTAATAAATATAAATACAATAAATAAATTTGTTTATTTTCTATGCTAGAAGCACAAGTTAATTAAAGGTGTTCCATGAAACTTGGCCAGAGTTTGTCAGCTATAATAATTATCTCTGACGACTCGAAAGTTGACTAAAATTTTGTTATTCTCTGATATATCAAATTCCGCCCATTCCTCTAAACTCAACTCTATAACAGCACAGTAACAGCATAGTACGCCTTTCCAGCTCAACTCGGAGATTATGCGATCTAGAGTTGGCCAATTTGGTATATGGCTTGTCTCATAACACACACACACACACACACATCAACTTAATAACTTTTGTGGTATATTATAGTCCGTAGAGTCGTAATAGTAAAGCTGCAAAAATATAATTGTACTTTGTGCCCATTAAATGGCCAATAAAGCTATGCTAAGCAGACAGTACGTAGTTGGCTCTTTTAAGATGGGTCTAAGAAAAACCTTGCAATATGGCTAACAAGTTTTCCTATCTACGCTTTCCTTTATAAAAGCTAACTCTTTTGTTGGAGTATTTAGAATATAGTTAAGTCCAGAAATATATTGATTTATACAAATGTATACTAAGATATTAATCGAAGCCCAGAAATTCTGCATAGTTAATTCTACTAGAATTTTCTGGAAACTCATCAAATTTGCATTTGGAGATAACAAAAATTGTATTTACTTATAAATGTCGCTCAGGTTTACCATCAAATTAATTATTTTGGCCTTTGATACTTTGAACTAATTATTTCTCTTTTTTAAGATGGAGGTAAATTTGACTGGCAGAATTTTCCAGAAACTTTTCAAATAAAAAGTTTTTTATTTTATTAACTAATGTTTTTGAATTTAATTAAATTCATCATATTTTGCAATTTGAAACTTTTCCTCGTAAATTTCCCTTTAAATACGTGCAGGGAAATTTGATTTTTAATATATTTAATAGAACTTGTTAATATTTCTATTTCTTTTGAGAAGCGATAAACTTTTCGGATTTGAAAAATTGTAGTTAACTTATTTAATATTTTGAAAATTAATTAAATAAATTGTTTTTGCCCTTGGAAACTTTGAACTATTTATTTCTTTTTGAATGAAAACTTTCTTTATATCTATTGAGTATTGATAAAATGCTAAACTGATAATCAAAATTAATGCAATTATGTGTCTATCAGTAAAAACACATAATAAAATAATGAAATGTTGTTAATATATCCCAACGGAATTTCCCTTCAACTCTTTGCAATCGCATTCGAATACTTTTTACCATAAAAAGCTGACTCCGTAGATGGCAATCTTGGGAAATAAATTTGTTTGCGGCAGTTTTGAAACGTTTTAAAATACAGAAACAAAAAATACGCAAAACCTATATTTTTCATTGATTGCATTTGCAGGCAGAGCGAGAGAGAGAGAGAGAGAGGGGGAGAGAGAAAAAGGTGCCAAAAGACGGCAATTGCAACCGAGTTGCAAATGCAGTGAAATCAGAAACCGAAAAGTCAGCAAAAACAAAAAAAAACCCAAAGAGAAATGCGTAACTGAAGAGATGGATATAGTATATATACATGTATGAGCATATAAAATAAGCTGGTACGCGAAATTTAATTGATACATTTACCGATAAACACACGCCTCGAAGTTCAGGTTAAGCCCACTCCAAGAGTGTGTGTGTGCGTGTGTGTGTGTGTGTGTGTGTGTGTGTGTGTGTGTGTGTAGGGGCCCTGCAGTTAAGGTATGGCTCGCAGGGCGTAGGGACTATGTGGAGTATAATAAAAGGTAGCTCCGGCCAGGTCCAGGTCCCGGCTTGGACTTGCAGCAGCAGAAGAAGAAGAAGATGCGGACGAAGCAGCAGAAGTGTAATGATATGAGAAAATTAAATTGGAAATCCACGAAATGATTTATTAATAAAGCACATCAAGCGCAAAAAAAAGTGAAGGGTTCGCATACAAAGCATGAAATCAGCGAGAGAGCGAGAGGGAAAGAGCGGGAGAGAACGGGAGAGAGAGAGAGAGGGAGAGGGAGTGAGGGCGAGAGAAAAAGTGACCAAGGCGAAACATTGGTTCAAAACAAGGGCACGACGCAGGCGAAAGGATGATGCCAGGGAATCAGTGCCACAGCAGAAGGGTGAAGTGGGGAAAGGAGCGGGGGGAGGGGGGCAGTCCATTTACTTTTGTACGCGTTACGCTTTCCACCTGAGCCCAGGCACGGACAGACATTGTGGCCTGATGAAGGGACAACCCATATGCCATATGCAACAACAGCCAGCCAGCCAGTTGCCCCCGATTCGATAAAAGCTGCAAGCGACAAGTGGCAACAACAACAACAACAACAACAACTGCAACAACAACAATTGGCTGGAACTCTGCCTCGAGTCACGTCGCAGCGCTTTTAGTTAGCTTCATTCAACCTGTTGGTTGCACGTGGCAGCTGTGTGTGCGGCATGTGCGTGTATGCCTGTGTGTGTGTGTGTGTGTGTGTGTGTGTGTGTGCGTAATTATATGTATCTGGCCGTTCGTATGTGGTAGCTGGTCTCAGGCGCAGCATTGCGAAATGGGAATCACTTACCTTATCGCAGAAGACCTTTATCTGACAGTAGCCGCGATGGAAGACCGTCGCGTCCCGCGGATCCTCGAACGTATCGATTTGTACGTGCAGCGGCAGGCCCTAAAAATACCACAAAGAAATACCAAATGTTATAATGTTTCAATTTGAAATACTTAAAACTATATACAAGCGACGAATTAAAGGCAGGTTTGACTTAAATACCACAAATAAATACCAAATATACTGATATTAAATACTAAAAACAATATACTAGCGTCGACCTAAGCTGGGCTCAACTATAGCTAGCTCAAAAATACTAGAAATAAATACCAAATATACTAAATTCTTAAGACTAAATACTAGCGGCAACATTAGCTGGACTTGGCTGTAGCATGCCCTAAGATACCAAAAATAAATACCAAATATACTAACGATTCAATCACAAATTCTTAATACTAACAGCGCTTTTGGCCAGCCCTGACTGTAGAAGGCCTTAAAATATAAAAATACCAAGTATGCTAAATATACTAAATTGGAATAAAGCCAGGATCAATTAAAATACCAAAAATAAATATCAATTATACTAATCCTAATATTTGAATAATGAATACTGAAAAGGAAATACTTAATACTAGCTGCGCCTATAGCCAGGCTTGACTTAAGCAGACCCTAAACTACCAGAATTAAATACCGAATATACTAAAGAAAAATACTAGCGATGCCTTTAGTCAGTGCTGACTGTAGCTGTCGCGTATCCGATTTGTACGTGCAGCGGCATTCCTTAAAATACCAGAAATAAATACTTAATATACTAATGATTCAATCATACAAAATACTAGTTGCGCCTTTAGCCAGGCCTGACTGTAGCTGTCACGTATTGCTCCCTTTTGGCTTTTAATGGCAAGCAGCAAAAAGAAACTCTTGACCAGGCCGAGCTCGTGTGTTTCTGTCAATGAAATATCAACTTAATGGTACGCATTACAACATACGAAGGATGTAACAACTGCAACAACAACAACAACTGCAACAACTCTCAACTGACACGAAGAAGAAGAGCAACAGCAACAACAACTTCCTACATATATGTTTAGTGTCGAGAACTGTAGCAATCTGCCCCCCCTTCATTTTCTTCTTCATTTTCATTTATGATGTTGGCCTTGCAGCGCCTCCTGGCACGGGTATTATGACTATGTGATTAAGTGTGTAACACAGGTAACACACTGGCAAACGGGAGCAGGCTACACGCCTTGGGGCCTCATCAACTTGTAGACAGAAGACCCTGTCGCTCTGTGCCCAGGTGTTTATTAAGCCAGCCATGAACAAAGAAATAATGAAAGAGCTTGAAGCCTACAACAGGCTTCTGCTTTTTGCTGCTTGTGTGTTCCCAGCTAGGGCCAGGCTAAAGACTATAGAACTATATATATTAGTATTATTTATACTATTTTTATAATAATATCTAGCTGTTCATAAGAAACTGCTCAAAGATCAATTCTTCTCTTGTGTTGCCAGCTCAATTGAAAGTCAACAACATTTTCAAACAGTCTGGCAGCGCTAAATTAGCTGAACACCTCATTAAGTTGGCTGCGATTAATAAATTCATCATTTACTTAACGAATTTGTGGCACATTCCTGAGAAATGTGACATAATGCATGTATTTGGTATTTAATCAATCTATTAGGCAGCTCTTCTTCTTACTTTGATAATAAATGCAGACTATATAAGAAAGAAAGAAAATAGAGAAAGAGAAAAAAGCTGCTCTACTTTTATGTTTAACTAGCTTGATTTATATAAATGCAACTGATGCGACTCTTGCAGAATCCAAAATATTCTTGGATATATACATAGCCATGCGCCCAATCCTACATCTATCTATATATCTATGTATCTATATACATATGTATCTATGTATCTATGCATCTATACGCATATGTATCTATGTATCTTTATATATATATAACTCTTTACATAGCTGCATATCTTTAAATCAATTATATAGAGCTATCTATGTATATTTGTCTTTATGTATCTATTCACATATATATCTAAATATATATATATATATATATATATATATATCTTTGGAGAAGAAAACTCACCTTAACACCTTTTTGACTGCTAAAGTCCGTGCTGAGGCATTGAACCGCAATGTTGATCTGTGGAAAATAAATGCGATGCAATTAAAAGCGAGGCAATTAATAAAAAATGAACAGAAAGAAATGAAAAAATAAATAAATGGAAATAAAAAAGAAATTAAAGCGACAGCAAAATGATAATAAAAACAACAACAACAACAAAAGATGACAAAAAGTGCAAATTGGGAAGGAAAAAAAAAGTGCGTCTGGGGGCTGCGACTGCGATTGCGACTGCGACTGTTATTAGAAGCAATTGTTTTCTCTCTATTAAGTCGATGTCCTCTTTATGCCCACGACAGTTTAAAAAATTCCAACACACACACGCACTCGCACACTCGCACACACACGCACAACCAAAAGGCGGGCATACTACAGTTGGTTATGGCCATGGCAATGCCAATGTAGCTGGAGACAATAACAAGGCAATACACAGAGGACCAAACCGAACTGTGGCAACATATCTGCACAGGTGCGGAAGGGGGACAGGTGGGCAGGTAAGCAGCGAAAGGGAGGGGGGGGGGTGGGGAGGGTTGCTGCGGCAAGTTGACTTGTGCAACGCATCCAATTCATTTTTTTTTCTGCGCTCTTCAGTTTCGACTTCGATTCAGTTGCTCAGCGACAGACTTCAAGTCGCTGCGTCTGTGTGCGAGTGTGTGTGTGTGCGTGTGTGTGTGTGCGTGCGTGTGTGTGTTTAAAGGCATTTTAAGCATGTCCAAGCCAGATGCGACGAGCCAAAGACAAACAACAGCAATATATATATATATATATGTATATACAAAAAAAAAAAGAGTAGAAAATCCATCAACGCAAAAATACCAAAGGAAACAATCTTAATGGTAAAAGTGCAACGCGGTCGACGCAGCGCTGTCGCAGTCGGCGTCGCAGTCGGCGTCGTCGTGGACGTTGTCGATGCTGGACGACGTGGAGCAGTATTTAATGTGAATAATTAGCGGGCGCGTACCATATAAGAGAAGCGACACAGACAGCAGGCAGTTGCAGTTGCAGAGGGAGAGGGGGGACAGGGGATAGGCGGGGGGGCCTTGCACAAGCTGCAGCACCTGCGTGTCGGTGCGTACGAAAGTTTTTTAGCTGCCGCTGGGAAAGGCAAAAGCAAAAGATACGCGCGCGCGCACACACAGCTGCAGATACAGATACACACACACACACACACACACACACACACGGCGACAGATACAGATGCGCAGATACATAGCGCAAGAGCGTGCGACGGCGCGGGTAGGGGGCAGGGGGATGCTGCTGCCTAACGGCATAAAACGAAATCGACATTATGCGGCCTTTGGCTGCGTCGGCGTCGGCGACGGCGACGGCGACTCTCTCTCGTTTTTGGGATTAACATCTCAGCGCGTAAACAATTTGTAAATAAAAAGCGCGATATCGAAATGCAGCCAAAATGCACTTATGGCCATAAGCCAGCCAATTGGCCAGCCAGACAGTCAGCCAGGCAGCCTGTTAGCCAATTTAATAACCGCTTGCCAATTTGACGCAAGTCACTGAACTTGACAACTTGTGAAAAATCAGTGCATTTGGCTGCAATAAAATGGCTGGAATTATCAGAGGCAGAGCGCATGCGCCCAACCCTATATATTATAGACAAGGCCTTCAAAGAGACTCCGATTGACAGCTGCTGTTGGAAAACTTTGCTATTTGGTCTATTTCAATTATTGAATATCTTAATATATATATATATATATATATATACATATCTTTATAGACAAGGCCTTGAAGAAGGCTCCCATTGACAGCTGTCGGAAAAGTTTGGTATTTGGACTCTCATACAGCTTATGTACTCAAAGTATGCTTCAATTGTTGAACATCTTAATATATATGTATATATACATATCTTTATAGATAAGGCCTTCAAAGATTTTCTTCATGACAGCTGCTGTTAGAAAACTTTTGCATATATGATCCTATATAGCTTATACGCTCCAAGTATGCTTCAATTATTGTATATCTTTATAACTTTATTTATAATCAAAGAAAACCTATTGCACGCAGAAACATGAACCTATAAGATGGACTTTAAGACATCTTTCCTAAACGATAAAAAGTATTAATTGGCAGCTGTGAAAATAGTCTTGATATTTGCTAAAAACAAGGACCTCTAACTCGGTTCTTAAAGCACACTTGATTATCATACAAAATTAATAAGAGGCAGCTCTAAAGGTAGTCTTGCTATTTGCTAATGTTTATAAGATATGAGTTAATCCTGGAAACATACTTCATATTCAAAGAAATTCTTTACAGGCAGCTAGCAAATAGTCTTAATATTTCGTGAAAACACAGACTACGGACATGGAGTTACTTTTATATAAAAGCTTTAATACAAAAACTTGCTACAGGGTATCTGCTAGTCGTAGACACAGACGGATCTGTTACGCATTGGCAGTTAAGTGAGCTGGATTGTAGAGTTTGGTGAGGATATCTTGGAAAGAATTATAAGTAAACTTGCTATAGGGTATCTGCTAGTCGTATCTGCTAGACCGACGTTCTACGCTTAAGTGAGATGCACAGAGGAGCTTAAATGTATTTGGCGTGTTTACTTAAAACTTTCATTAAAAAATTCCATTTGCAACCGAAATCAAGCTTGTTACAGGGTATCTGCTAGTCGTGCACTGAGCACAACGTAACTCGTTGCTTGCCGTTTCATTTGGATTTGTTTATTTTCGGGGTGGAGCCTATGACTCCCAGCTGCTTGAATGCATCTGCATTCCAATTACAATGTTGTTCAACTGTTTGGCGGTGCTTCGGCAGATCGGGGGTTGGGTGGTGCGGCAGGTGGGAGGGGGGGAGTGGGGGGGGGGGGGGGTGGCGTATACGTAATGGCAGGACGGCGCATGGCGCTTGATTCGCTCAATAGAATTGCAAATATTTGTGGCGATTAAAATTGCTGATAATTGCTAAATTAAACGCGCGGCCAGCTCGGGCTTAAAGCCAAAGCTTTGGCAAATACAAAATACGAGACGAACAGAAAGGGAGAGAGAGAAGGAAAGAGAGCGAGAGAGAGAGAGAGAGAGAGAGAGAGGGGTAGAGCGAGCGAGCGCGAACGAGACTGAAATTTGTCGAGGCAGGTGATTAAAAAACTAAGTGTCATAAATAAATAAATGCATAAATTATTCTTTTCAAAATAACAACAAAGGCGAGAGCGAGACGGCAAGAGTTTGGCGCCCAAGGCGTGCGACAGAGATGGCAACAACAAGAGGCGACTTTGCGACGCGCGTTGAATAATTTGCGTTGTACGCTGCAATTGAAAATAAATCACAAATTAATTCTTACACACACACACACACACGCACAACAAGCACACATAAACACACACACACTCTCACACACACACAGAGCGTTTCATTTATTTGCCGTCTCGTTCATAAAATGATTTTTTGTTGTTGTTTTTTTAATTGAGGCGGCGCTCGGCCGCAAACAAAATGGAGACTACAACAGTTAGAGAAAAGGAGAGGGGATGGGAATGGGAATGGGCGCACAGAGTTCACAGGTGCTTGGCACTTACCTTGGCAGAGCTCTCGAGCGGATTCCAATAGACGGCGATGGCATTGTGCGACACTTCCTCAATGCAGCCAACAAGACCAACCGAGTTCTTTGTATCTGCAACAACAAAAACAAAAACAAAAACAAGAATAAGGTATGAGAAACAGTCCAAAGAGAGGGGTGTTGTCTAGAGGGGGGGTGTTTAAGGGGGGGGGGGGGGGGGGGAGTCGCATCGTATCGTTTGTATTAACAATTAAGGAAAATTGTCTGTGACAAGTGCCTAATGAGTTATGTTTGATGGGGCAAGCGCGCAACAGGATGCAGCAAGTGGCAGCAACACTGTGAGAGCTTGAGAGAGAGAGGGAGAAGGAGTGAGTGGGGGGAGGCAGAGGCAGCCGGCAAACTAGCCAAGATTATCTGCAATCAAACAAAACCCGAACGCATTGCGCGTTTATCAATGTCATAACTCGGGCTGCATGTTGCATGTTCCCTCGCCTCCTGCTGCCCCTCCCCCCCTCCCCCTCCGCTCAACCGTTCAATAAAAAGCAACAATTTACGATCTGGATATTCTATACACAACTCGGTAGCGGTTGGCTCTTCAGCCCGTACGCACCTGCATCCAAGATTCTTTGCTTCACGGAATGCTGACGACTGTGCCAGAATTGCCAGGCCTTTATCTCGTCCTCGGGACTCTTCTCCTCGCGAAACATTAACATGATCACACTCTGCAAAAATGCAAAAACAGAAAAAGAAAAACAATTACATAAAAGTATTATTAAATGAAAGAATTATTAAAGAGTTGTTGATATATTCTCGTGTTGTTGTTGGTTCTTGTTGTAGGCTTGGACTCATTTTAAATTAAGCTGATAGTTAAAGGATATTATTAGATTTATTTTTAATAGAAACAAATTTGTTAAAGTAACAAATAAAACAAAAGTCAGGATATCCTTCTAGAAATTTGCCTTTTACAGATATCTACGAATAGTGAACCACGTGAATGCTGAGCTCGACGAAAATATCTTGGATAATATTTCAACGATATTTCCTATAGCAGCTATAGCATCAAAAGTGTTCCGATGTAGATAAGATTTCGCTTATATATGAGGTTCATAATGGAACCAATAGATCTCAAGTTTGGTCAAGTTTTCTTATTATAAATAAAGGTTTACATCTGAGAACCAAATGTTTGGCGGATCGTTTAGGAATATATATAGCTACTGCCATCCAATATTTACTGCCGGCAACAGAAAGACGGATCTGTGCAAAGTTTCAAGACTGAGAGTTCGCATAGAAAGAGCTAAATGCTAGATAACTCCGATTAATTGTTTATGCTTTTAGTACCTGATGCATATATAAACATTTATTTTAAAAATTTGGTATCTCTTTTTGTTCTCTGCTTTCAAGTAATAAATTAATTAAAATATATTAACCAGTATCTGGGAAGTGTGAACGTGTTAAATATATATATTTAACAAAAATCTGACGTGTTATAAACATATTAGAAAACAATAAAAGAGTTCGAGGCACACTTTTAGAAACAGTTTTCCGATACTAATAAGGCTTTCTGACAATTATCCTCTTTCCATTTCATTCTCAAACTATTTACAGGGTATCTGCCTGTTGTTATCGTTCCTTAAGCCTTTACTTCTTGACATTTTTTCGGCCTCTGCCCTACCTCGCTCCCTCACATTCTGCCAATTACACCCAGAACATTAAACTCTTTGACTTTTAACAGGGTATCTGTCAGTCGTTGTTCAGGGCCAACCCGCTTGACATATACGCGTTGTGACACATGTTTTGTCGGCCCATGCCGATCTATTGCTCGCACCCAACAAAGTCAAAAGGATTAGAAACAGAAAATGCAACAATAATGAAAACAAAAAAAAAAAATCAAAAATCAAAAAAGGACTAACTCGATTTAGCAGAAAAATATCTAACACATTTGTATCTGAGTATCCCGAGCATATTCGTATCTGACAAGCGTCCGTTCCCAGAGATATTTGCATTTTGTGTGCATCATTTATGTGTTTTTCACATTTTGAATAATTACGTTGACAGCGCAAAAGGAAGCGCACAGATATATGTAGGAACCCGAGGAACCCGAGGAACCCATCCAAATTGCAACCCCTTTGCCATTTACCCCGACTACCCCCGATTACCCCCTGTCTAGAAGATCTTTGCATCTACTGATTACTCGGCATAAATATTTTTGTGTATTTTGTGCGCCTTTTTCTTGAATCTTTAGTTTTCTACCAGAATTTTTTTTTTTTTTGTTCAACTCTTCGGCCTCTGTGTTTTATATATCGTAAATATTCATGGGCTAATCAGCTCGTAAATTATACTAGGTTCACTTTTTTTTTTTTGGATTTTTGGTAAGTTTTTCACCGTTAGGCATTTGGGAAATGGATATGGAAATGGACACGTCTATGCAAATGCGCCGCTTTGATTTTTCGTTGGGTTGCTTTTTCCACGTCGATTCTGTAGTTTCTTGAGTTACACTTAAATGTCTTCTTTTTTTTATGGAATGTTTGCTGCCAGCCCGAAAAAGGGCGAGAGGGTTAAACAAATAAGCTCGTAAATTCATTTTGACACTTTTTTCTAGCGTCTCTTACGCAAAAATTATTGCACTTTTATGGTAATACGAGACGTCGCGGCACTTCATAAAACACAATTAGCAGGGGTAGCCAGAACTATGGAAAATTCAAAGGTAGGGGTAGTCAAGACAGTCACCAGATGGTCGCTAGAGCTCGAGTTCGTTAAGATCTGCCAGAAGTATTTTATATAGATTTTCTATTTAGTTGCCAGATGTTCTCTAGAGCTCGAGATCTGCTAGAACTATTTTATGTAGAATTTCTTTTTTAATGTTATCTTTTATATTCAAGCAACTCAAGATCTTACGAATTTCAAAGAGTTGCAGTAAATATTAATATAGGATCTTTAAGAACTTGTTTTCTTTTTCCTAAAATGTTTCCTCAAGATCATAAATCATATTTTGAATTCTGAGAAAGTTTCGTATTTTAAGCAAACTGTCAACTTATTTAAAAATCTCTCCAAATATTTAAGATCTTTAAAAGGTTTAAAGAACAATTTCCACTTTTTTTTTTTGTTCTTTACAAAAATTTCGTACACCTTTCCGTTTAACCTTAAGAACCTTAAGATATTTAAATTCATGCTATCAACGTGTTCATTCAATTGATTTTGATCAAGATTTTGTTGGAATTTTAGAAATATTCATTTATAATTCCTTTTGTATTTATTTAGCATATTTCCTTGAGTTCAAGATCTTAAAATTCGGGCATTGTACGCGTTGTGACTTTTTTTGATTAAAACTGAAGATTTTTCGGATTTCGATATACATTTTAGCCAGCTTTAGGATATTTATTTTCCTGGAAATTCCTTTGGACCTTTCAAAATATTCATTAATTTTCTTTCTATTTATGCTGTGAACTGAAGTTCTTAAAATTCAGGCTATCCTCGTGACTTTTATTTTATTAAACCCGAAAATCTTTTGCATTTTTCAAAAATATTCATTAATTTTCTTTCTGTTTATTTAGTATAATTCCTTGAGCTCAAGATCCTTGGACCTCAAAAAAAAGTTTTTTTACTATTGTTTTTTAATTTTTTTCCATCAATTTGTCGCAGCTTTTATTTACGTATGCAAATAACATTTGAAAGACAGTTCCAATTTCAGGCCCTAGATTCTCGAGACGCAGAACTCAAAACTCAATTGTTGTTTACTTAGCGAACCGTTGGCACTTCCACATCCACATTCACAACTTCTTTGAACTACCCAAGTTGCCACTTCCCATTTTGAACTGTAACTTTGATTGTCATTCTTCAAAACTCAACGGGTTCAGTTTACAATTTGCATTTTCCAGTAGCAGTCGAGTCGAGGAGCAGACGTCATTTAAGCTTATCTGATTGATGATGTTGATGTGTATTGTGCACAACTAGGAAAAAATAACCATGTAGTGTGTGTGTGTGTGTGTGTGTGTGTGCTGAAAGGCTCACAATTTGCATTGAGCGGCATATTCAAATTCTCATAAAGGCAGCGCCTTGGCGTATCATTTATCATTTATCATCGGGATATGCATATGAAGACGAGATCAGAGCAAAGCCTTAAGCAGGATATGCGTGTCCTTGTGTGTGTGCCTATGTGTCTGTGTGCAATTGAGCAAAGGGTGGCGAGTGCTGCCAAACTTGATTAGCGCCTGGGCATTCTGACATTCTGAGCTCTGCTCGCGGCAACGCCAGGACTCACAGCTGACAAATCGCAGGGTGAAAAGGGTTTGAACTGGGTGTTGACAACAACAACAACAACAACAAGAACAACAAGAACTGGTAGCAGGATCAGGCAGCTCCACAATCAATAGGACTTACCTTAACTGTTGTATTCTTGATTGGCTTATCCGCATCGTGCACATACTCCAGCGTTATGCCATAGAATTGACCCTTGTTGATGTAGGTGATGCGATCGTCTTCGCGCCGCTGCGACGAGCTGATCGGGCTCTCCAGATTATAGCGAAAGCCCACATTTGTGAAGCTAAACAAATATATATATATATAAAATAACAAATAAAGGAAAGTAATTTAGTAACAGTTATTAATTTAGTTAATTCGTTGCCGTTCGACTTACATTTTTGGTATTTGTATTTTGTCAGCATCATTTTGGCGCCCGAAATCGTGCCAGGGCCGCGAACGTGTCGAGCCATTTGTGCTGGTATCCACCAGCGATGTGGTTGGACTATTCTGGCTGCCATGCACCACGGTGCGCTGCTGTATGCTGTTCACCGAAACGGGTATGCTGCCATTTGCATCGATCAGGGTACCCGGCTGACACAGTTCCGTATAGTCGAAGGACTGCAAAAGAATTGGTATAAATTGGATTGGTTATAAGATCGATATGACATAGATTTGATTAGGTAAATAGAATTAGGCTTAAGTTTAGGTTTTAATGGACACGCCACGCATGTTAAGTGGCTACTCGTTACTCGCTACTCGTCACTCGCTACTCGTTACTCATAAATAGAATTAGGCTTAAGTTTAGGTTTTAATGGACACGTCACGCACTGTATGTGGTTACTCGCTACTCGTTACTCGCTACTCGTTGCTAGCTAAAAGTTTAGTGTTTTATTTTATATAAGTAGTTTTAAGTCTAGGTTCTAAATGTTTTAATGGACACGACACGCACTGCGCTACTCGCTACTCGTTACTTTTTACTCGCTACTCGTTACATTTTACTCGCTATGAATATACAGCTAGCTGCTTGGCAGCTTTGCGTGTGTTTTTGTGTGGGTATACCTGCTGTATGTGATTCTGATCCCGCGGCGTTATGGCATCCGTGCCAATGCCCGAATCGGGACTGGGCAAGTCCACGGTCAGACCCGCCGCCGTTATAGCCTTGGCATATAGTGGGGTGCCGCCGCTTTTGCCCGACTGTTCCTGCTGCTGTTGCTGTTGTTGCTGCTGCTGCTGTTGCTGCTGCTGCTGCTGTTGACTGTGGTGGTGTGCATTGCTGCTGGTTAGCACTGTGGTGGTGGTGGGCGCATTGCTGCTGAAGCGCGCCTCGTAGACGCCGCCCACGGGCTGCGGCTGCGTGGCCGCCGTAACGGATACATCCTCGCCGTAGAGACTGCGCGCCGTGCCCGCTGGCACATAGCCGCCTTGGCCGTCAGGTGCAAAATATTCACGATAATAGGGCTCCGTTATGAATGTGGTGGCGGGCGGTGGGCCGGGCGGCAGCCTGCTCGCCGTATACATGCCATAGCTGTCCGTTGTGATATACGGCCCGGGACTGGGACTTTGCGCTTGCAGTGTGCTCTGCTGTGTGTTGGCGCCATTGCTGCTCTGCTGGTGTGAGGTCTGTGCAGGAGTTCAGGTCAGTCTCTCTCTCTCTCTCTCTATCTCTCTCATACGCTCTGCTCCGCTCGCTCACTCACCTGTAGATAAATCTGTGTGCCGCCCGTGGTAGCATACATCTCTAGATCTGTCGCTGTCGCTCTGGCGGGACTAGTTGCAGTTGCAGTTGCAGTTGTTGTTGCTGCTGTATTATTGCCTATTTCGAATGCAGTTGCAGTTGCCTCAGTTTCGGTTCTAGCTGCATCCACGCCCAATATCTGTGAATTTTCGTTTGGATTTGTGTTGGTTTCTGTTTCTTTCAACTGTTGCAACTTTGGAACTTAAGATCTATTTTTAGGCTATTACGAACTCAACTATTCTTACACAAGATTTGGCGCATTTCTATCTTATCTGATTTGTTAGATTGGATTAGATTGGCATAGCTGTGGGTCATAATAGTTTATAGAGTGTGCGACTCCTAGGATCTTTGCGTGATCGGATGCCCGTTTTAGCTACATTTGAAGATAGAATTCAGATTGATCGCCAGTCTTTCCCAACTGATCTCTAATAAATGATTTATATAAACTAAAGTTATTTCGTGTAGATAAAAGATCTTAAATACTAAAGTTATTTCGTGTACATCAAAGATCTTATAAAGACACTCTGATCTCACATAGAATTTTAGGCAGGGCCTTCAGAGGAAGTCTGACTGATCTTCGCGTGATCGGAGGCGAGTTTTAGCTACTTTTGAAGAAGGAGTATAGATTGATCGTAGGTCTTTCCCTACTGATCTCCAATAAATACTATTTTAACCGATCTGTAAAGATCAAAGATCTTATAAAGACACACTGATCTCATACAGATCTTTGGGAATGGCCTTTAGAAAAAGTCTGAGTGATCTTGACGGGATCAGCGAATGGTTTTAGCTACTTTTGAAGGTGGAATTTAGGCCTTTCCTAACTGATCTCCAATTAGTGCCTTTTATAAATTATCTATGTAGATCAGCGACAGTTTTTAGATTGATCTCAGGCCTCTTTGAAGTGATCTTCAATAAACCTTTATTAAATGCTCTTTATAAATGATCGAAGCTAGATCAAAGGCTTTTATGGGTTAAATTAAATGAAGATTTAGACAAACGAAGATCGTGATGAGCTAGTATCCATGCATATTCATATTTCTAGAGTTAACAAATAAGCATAGACGCAATTTTTCAAGAACTTAACTCGAACGAAGTCAAGTCTGGGCGCTGAGACTAATCTTTAATAGATCAGAGAGACCTTCAGAAGTAACCTGTCAGGAAGAATATTTGGATAACAACGAGACCTTCATTGGAGACCATGTTGTGCTGATATTTTTTATAGATCGAGGCTAAACTAATCTCGCATAGATCAATGAAAGCTTTTTAATACTGATCTCGAATAGATCAGAGACATTTTTAAGGCTAAGCTCACGTGGATCAGAGACTTATTTGAGAGCTCAACTCTCGCAGAGATCTTTTGGAATTTGAGCTCAAATAGAGTAGAGATTTTTTGGAAACTGATCTTGCATAGATCAGAGACCTTAATACGAAGTCAAGACGTAGAGCGCGCGCAATCCAAATTCTACAAGCCGGCACAAATAATAATAATATAATAATAATGCTTTGAATTGGTTCAGCATATGATTTGTTTGGGGAATTACATTGATTGATCGCACACACGCACAAAATAGACAACAACAACAACTGCTGGTGGTCAATGTTTATTGTTGATTGATAACTGATTGTGAACGCGGAAGGTCAAAACGGACCATGGTTGACAAAAGAGCGCGTCTCGTGCGTTGAGTTCTTTTTTTTTTTTTTTTGAGCTTTATTTTTGTATATTGCCTTAGCTGATTCATAAATACAACAGCCACAAGCAGCAATAAGTACAGTTTATAAAATAAAATATAAACAAAAAACAACAACAGCAACAGCAAGAAATGAATGCTATAAAAATCGAAACAGTCGTCGGTTGTCGTCGAGTGGAAAGAAACCAATTAAAATGCGAGAAAAAAAAACAACACAGTCTATATAACTTATACACAGATGCTAGATGGTATATAATTTTACATATTTATGTATGCGTATATATATATATATATATATGTGTGTGTGTGTGTGTGTGTGTGTGCATATGTTAATTAGCATTGCTTTTTTTATTATTATTTATTTGTATTTTATTGATCGCACCAAAATGTCAAACGTTTTTCGACGCTGTTGACGCGCGCGCTAAATGAGGTAATACGCCAAGATACAGATACAGATACAGCCAAAAGATACAGCTAAAAGATACAGATACAAGATACATTGGGTTAGCTGCTGGCCGGCAGGTGCCACGCCCTGTTTAGCTGTCGCGTCCAAGCATCTAAATTAACATTTTTCTTTCATTCGGTTGATGAGTGTTTCACGCAGCCGCCAAAAGAAAGTGAAATCAAAAGACGTCAGCTGCCGCTTGGCCAATTGGCCGGGCCCAAAGCGAGCCTCGACAAAGAATCGAAAATTTTAACAACAATTTAGTTTATATTGTTTTGCCATATTTCCAATTTAACTACAATTGCTTGGCAGCTCCGATTGAGCGCGAAAATCATGAAAATTTTAAATTTGGCTTTGGCTTTTGGTCAGGTGTGCGGCGCGTTGGGTTGCTCTGCCAAAGATTCTAGCTGCGAGCTAATTAAATTTGTTCATAAAAATCAATTTGCATTTTGAAAAAAAAAAAACACAAAAAAAAAACTTCAACGTGCAACGTCAGAAAAGGCCTTGGCTAGTGAAGCTGAGCCAACGATCCGACAGATATTTTTTTTCTCATTATTTTTTTTTGGCTTTTTTTTTTGGTTTTTTTTTGTGCGTGTCTTTAGGAATCGTTCGTTAGCTTGTGCTATTATAAAACAGCGCGCTTTGCATATGCCACACACACATGCACACACACACACGCACACACACACACGCACACACAAATCAGATATCTATACTATAGATATTCATACTAAACCAAGTTTTAGAATTATGCTAAACGCGTCTCTGGCATATATTTATGTATGAGGAAGAAATAAAAAACGACAACAAAAAATGAGTGAAAAAAAACACACACACACACACACATACTCACACACAAAGAATTTAAATAAAGCCAATTAACTATTTTAATGCCTTTGGGTTGATAAAAAGTGAAACTTTTTTTTTCTACTAGTCGTTCGTTTTGTCAAGAATCTATTTAGCTTGGCCGTTTTATGCATATCGTTAATTCTCGGAAATAAACCAAGGCAAAACAATAATACATACAGAAATTATTAACAATATTAAAATTATAATATTATTATTATTATTAGATATGATTTTGAATAGTTTTGTTTTTTTTTTTTGTCATTTATCTTTGGGATTTTTCGTTTTGGGGCTTTTAGTTGGTTACGTTTGGGCTTCAATTTAGTTAGTTACCAAGTTTAAGCCAAGCAACTAAATATAAAACATTTATCGATAGCCTTTTGGGTTTTTTTCTCCTAAGCTGAAGTTCAGTTGAGTAAGGCTTTGATTTAAGCATATGCTAATATTCAAAACGTCTCAGAAAGTTAATCGACTTTTTCTTTCTGATTTATCGATAACATTTCTTAAAATTTAAGTTCATTTCTGTAAGTCCCTATTAATATATATAAAGGAGAGATACCTCCTAGAGGATGTCTCCAAGTTATGAACTGCTTTGTGGTTAATTTAAAACAAAATACAATAAAAAAGTGTATCGATAACAGTTTGGTCTTGTATATCGATTAATGAAAGTCATATTTGTATGCTGTTATTCTTGGATTTAAAGTCAAACTCAATAAATATAGTCTATAATTAATCAGTAGTCATCATCAACTACTTTAAGCTTGATAACCATTAAAAAATCGGTTATCGATAATTTATCGATAACGCCTTTAGCACTATTATTGGTAGATTCATAACTTTCTTGCTTTAATCCTACTACGATTAATATATATCGATTTCCGGCAAGTCCAAGCTTTAATTAGTAGCCTTTGCTTAGTTTTTGATACATTGAACCAATGCTCAAAGCTGTTATCGATAACACTTCTCGCTTTTATCGAAAGTCTTTTGTGGGCTTTGAGTTAATTTTAGTTAAATCTGGTTACTGTTAAGACGAACGCTTAATTACAGCTACTTTGTTTCATTAATTAACTATAAGTTAAACATTTATCGATAGCTCTTTTTAAACAACGCTTGGGCGTTCTGAGCAATTTTTACAATTAGCTTAACAGCAGGCGGTTTATTGACACCATTTGTTTTTTGTTGTTGAGTTTTTTGTTATTGGCTAACGATTACACTTTCCGGTCTAGAATTGCAATAAATTGCAATATCAATTTTTCATCTATCATATATATACTTTTTTTTTTCATTATGTCATTTGTTCAGTGTGTGTTGTTGTTGTTTTCGTTTGGGTTTTTTAATTTAAATTCTGTGGCATAAATTAGTCAAGCGATTTGTTATACGATTTGTATATAAACCTTTCGACTTTATAACTCTAGGCGACGCGTGTTATGCAAATCGAAGTCTAAGACAAATATTGCAAATAATTAACTGGCAATGCGAATAATAAAATATAAATTAGAGTGCAATGCAAATTGCACAGACAAATATATATACATATATGTATATACATATGGGCAATAACAACCAGAACAACAATGACAACAAGAAATTCAAACAAAACAAGCCAATTAAATAGTGCTGCACAAATTTTGCTCAATGAATTTTGCTGCTGCACACACACACACACACACGCTCACGCACACACGCACACTAAAAGCCCACTCTCATCTGCAAAAAGCGTCAAAAAGCAACAACAAACTGTTAAGTGCCGTTGTTGCTGCTCTTGTTGTTGTTGCTGCTGCTGCTGCTGCTGCTGCTGCTGCTGCTGTGTTCTCGCGCGCCAAACAAAAGACTTAGAGCTCAAACTTGTTCGCCGCGCGTGGGTGTTGAAAGGCAACGCGTTGCCGCTCAGCTGCTGCTGCTGCACGCCCACACGCAGCTTGTTGCTGTTCGCTGTTGTTGTTGTTGTTGTTGTTGTTGTTGTTGTTTGTCTTTTGCGCGCGTTTGCTCAATTTGTGTTGCATTTGTTATTTGTTGTTGCTGTTTCTGTTGTTTCTTTTGTTTCGTTTTGGGCGCACGTTTGCATTTTGATTGCAGGTGTTTTTTTTTCTTTTTTTTTTAAATTTAATTTATATATATTTGTTGCATTAGCTAACTGGGCAACTGGGCGCCCACATTCCAATCAAGCGGCACTATATCACATATCATATATCATATATATATCATAACACAATATGCAAAATAGCAGCATATCGAATTCGGGCACACACACACACACTTACATTTGTTACAGTATTATTTGCGCAGGTGGACGAGGGGGGGCGCGGCGGTTTTGGTTTGTTATTGGTTTAATGATACTGATCACTGAATCTGAACAATATAATACACTTTAACACGTTGTTGTTGTTGTGTTTGTTGCTGCGCTCGCATTACAAGATTTTACGCGCAGGAGAAGCATTCGCGTCCGCTCAGAAATCAGACGAATCGCAGAAACGATCCTACTCCGACAGCGTGATACGACTGACTGACCGATTCCACGTATGACAACGTCGGCGGCGGCTGCGACGGCGGCGCTACCTGAACGAACACGCACACATGCACACACATACAAGCGCGCAGACAGACGTCAGCGGCGTTGCGTCGGCCAGTTGGACCAGCGTTCACACACACACATACGACGATCACACACACACATGCAGGCGCACACAGGCGCACGCATATCAGTTCAAAATGGTTGGAATCTCTGCGGCTGTCGCGTATTCTGACATGCGCTGCGGCCGGACAGGGCGTTACAAGCAGCGCTGCGCTGCGCGGCGCGGCATTAAAAAATAGTTTTCATTGATTCGCGAGCGGATCGAACGAAGGAAGAACGCAACAGTGGGCCGGAAGTGCGCACTTAACTTTTGTCGCCTTTGGCTTATGTTGTTATCTTTGTTGTTGTTGTATTTGTTGTCAGTCGCGCAATTTCCCAGCACTTGTTGTTGTGCAAGAAAAAGCGCTTTAATTACGGCTTGGGTTTTTTTTATTATTTATAAGCTGCCGTTGTTTTTGTTTTTGCATGCAATTGATAAAAGCACATCAGGCATCGAACATGCAACATGCAACTCGAACCGGCCAGCAGCATGGCAGGCAACTGACTCTAAGCGCAAGCGAGCTGCTCTTATGCGCAGCATGCGTGCGTGCGAGCGAGCGCAATATACAAATCACACAGGCACGCACACACACACGCACACACAGTGTGAGCAGCGGCGTAGCGTTGATCGTGTATAACAAGTTGGGTGTATAACAGTTGCTCGAATGCAAACTGAGCGACGGCTGTTGTTGTTGTTGTTGCTAGCTGCCTGGCTGCCTGCCTGCCAGTTGCTGTTGTTGTTGTTGTCTCATTGCTTTTGCGTCAATAGAACGACGACGAGCGACGAACAACAGCAACAACGACAGCAACAACAACAGCAACAACACAGCGGCAACGACGTTGATTCGTATTGGCTGCAGCCACAAATACTCATTGCTCGCACACACACACACAGCTGACAGACCAATTGCAGGTCTTAGAGAAGCAGCGGCGACACATAAAAACCGCAACAAAAACAACAACAACAACAACGCAAGCAAAAACTCGCATGTTAATTGAGACAAACAAAGTAGAGCGTAGAGCGCAGGATGCGCTGCGACGCCTGCGCTGGCGCAGCTGCCCATACGAAACTAATTTCTAATTGGATTTTGCTGTTCTTAGTTTTAATACCCTGTTTTTTTTTTGGTTTTGCGTGCGTGTCCATTAAAGCGTTAAATACGTAAGGCTTGCTATTTTTGTAGTTTTTAATTTTGACATTAACTTTCCTACCTTCTGCGTTATGACCGAACCATTTGCTGAGGCGCCCAGGCTGCCGTTCTTGGGATCCTTGCTCAAGTCTTCGGGCTCACGCTTGATGCTCAGCAGCTGCTGCTGCTGCTGCTGCTGCTGCTGCACTGCAGCGGAGACAATTGAGCCCGCGCTCCCCACGCCCGCGGTGGTTATGGTTACAATGTCGCTGGGATGTGGCGGCTGCTGCTGCTGCTGCTGCTGCTGCTGTTGATGCTGCTGTTGCTGCTGCTGCTGATGTTGCTGCTGTTGATGCTGTTGATTTGAGATTGTTGTTGTGGAGACCACGCCGGTTGTGGCGGACGAAGATGAGGGGTGTGAACCAAGCAGAAAGCCTTGAATTTCATTTTGCGATAGGCCAGAGACATCGATAGGTGTGGTCTGGCCATTCAGTTTGCCGGCGCTGCTCGCATTGCTGCAAAAAGACAACAAGAGGAAGGAAATGCCAGAGCAACAGAGATAGCAAAAGTTAGAGAGCCAGAGAGAGAGAGAGACAAAGAGAGAGAGAGAGAGGGAGAGAGAGCGCGTTGCATGAGTACAAAGTTTATAAGTTGTTTGCCTAATTTAAGTGCTTAATTACTTAACTACTTAATTACTTAATTGCTTAACAATTAACATTAACATACACCCACGAGATTGTCGCCAGCGCCTAACGGTACCCAGAACGAGTCCAATTCAAAACCAAATCCCAATCAGAAACTGACAATCAAGAGCGCAAAATATGCAGCAATTGCAAATTTTCAATAGCTAATCCGTTGGCTGCGCCTAATTTGCCAGCAACAGCAACAGCAACAGCTACAACAACAACAACAACAACTACACCTGTAGCTGCAGCTCAAGCTGTGGCTGGACCTGTTACCAACTGGCCAATCGACTCGAACACACACACACGCACACACACACACACACAGCCAAATAGGAGCAGCGACAACAACTGCAAAAAGCAAACCAGATTCCAGCTGCAGCCCGAGCGACTGCGACTGCGGGTCCAGCGGCTCGATGTATAAAATAAAAAATACAGCTTTTGGCCAGCTACGATAACAACAACAACAACAACAACAACAGCAACAACAACAAATATCTGCACAATAAAAACAAATTGCATTCAATGAAAATAATCACAAGCCGTTTTTTTCTCTCTCTCTCTCTCTCACTCTCAACGTTTCAAATCAGTGACAAATACTTTATTTATTTATTGCTTTGTATTTGTTGTTGTTTTTGTTGTTGCTGGGTTTTTCCCGTACCCCCTCCCCCCCTTCTCCCCTTCTCCCCTGACCCGCTGCTCAGCTTTTGTCAAGGTCACAGCCCAAATTGGGCAACAAAATTTCGAGCAAGAAAATTTATGCTCAAAATCAGCGCAAAGAACTTGTTGTGATTCTTCACAAAAATTATGACGTCAATTGTTTAAACAAAAATTTCAACTTTTAGGCTAATAAAAGTGCGATTTTTTTTAATGAGCAAGTTTTATGAAGTGTACTAAGGCCAGGCTGGAAGCTTAACATAAAACAAAAAAACTAAATAAATGATTTTACAGCAGATTCTGCTCTCAACATATCCAAAAGCCACTCTTCAGCAAATAATGCCCATTGATGAGCTGCGACAAAAAAAGCGTGATTCATAATTTGAGCAGCTCGATGGCTTAATAGAAACTTGTTTCAAGCCAAAACTGGCTTGGTTTTAACAATAAATTGGACTTAGTCGCAGTCTTTAATTGTTTTCCATTTGTAAAGTGAAATTTTCGATTTTGAATGAATTTGATTCCGCTTTAGGTCTCAGCTTTGTTTTGATATTTGTTTTGAATTTGTTTAATTTATTATTTAATAAATAACCTGCTTACGACGTATTAAAACAATATTTTGCAATGAGAGAAGGGTACTTAAAGTACCTTATCGCAGTTACATGGAAAGAAATATATATCGGAAATTTTTTACTTGAATCAAGTAAGCCTGTGTACTTGTGTTAAAGATGTCTCAGACTTAAATCAAGTTAGCCCAGTTACTTGATTCTAGTTTTAAAAAAGCGAGATTTAAGTTCAAGATAAGCCTAGTTACTTGATTCAAGCTTCAAATTTCTTAAATCAAGTAAGCTAAGTTGTTTGTTTTCAGTTTAAGATTTCTCAAACTTGAAACAAGTAGGTCTAGCTACTTAATTTAGCGTAGCTTACTTGATTAAAGCTTAAGATTTTTTAAACTTTACTTGATTAAAGTTTAAAATATGCTTTGTTACTTGATTCAAGTTCAACATAAGCATAGTAACTTGATTTAAGCCTCAAATTTCTTGAATATGAAGTTTGGTATCTTTTTAAGCATAAATTGACATCGACAAAGTTTTCGTAGTCTGGAATCGTTTATTTATACAAAAGTCTTATCCAAATACCTAACTGCATATTCATAAACGCAGATCGAGTGAAGCTTTAAGATTAAATGCATATTTATATAAATCTCCATTGATATTTATCTGTATATCCATATCTATAGAAGGGCGGATCGCGTGACAGCCAGAAGGCAGCTAACTCTAGCTTGATATTAAGCGGTTCAGCCAAGAAATAGCTAGATCTAAGTTAACATGTCAGCGAGGAAACAGCTAGATATAGCTTAATATTAAGCGTGTCAGCCAGGAGGCAGCTAGATCTAGCTTGATATATAGCGGGTCAGCCTAGAGGCAGCTAAATCTAGCCTAATATTAAGCGCGTCAGCCAAGAAACAGCTAAATCTAGCTTACTATTTAGCCAGTCAGCCAAAAGGCAGCTAAATCTAGCCTAATATTAAGCGGGTCAGCCTAGACACAGCGAGATCTAGCTTACTGTTTAGCCTGTCAGCCAAAAGGCAGCTGGATCTAGCTTGATATCAATATAAAACCCAGACATAAGCATAGATCGTGTCAAAATTTACTTTATATGAACTTAAAGAAAAGATTTGTAATATCGTTTGTTGCTTACAGAATTTACATGAACTTTTTAGGCCTCAATTTGCCCGTTGCATGCAAACGGCTCCAACTTAATGCTAAGCTTTTCACAATCCTTTTATTTTTTTCGAGAAACAAACAATCATAAAAAATGCCCAAAAAATAAACGACAACAAGAGAAAAACAAGTAAGACGTTCTAGTCGGGAGCTCCCGACTAGGGTATACCCTGAACCCTCTTTTTCCAACATCAAATGCATATATATATATATTTTATTTTAGAAGCTATATGTCAAGTTTGGTGACTCTAGCTCTTATTATTTACCAAAATTGCCCAAAAAAAAGGGTATCGATATCGATCAATTTTATCAATTGCTTGGAAACGGAGCAAGTTATCGGTTATCGGAACCAAACTCGATCTGCGCGGGAGCTAGGAGCATCTACATCTAAAGTTTCAAGTCTCTAGCTCTTATAGGTTCTGAGATCCTTGAGATCATACATACGGACGGACGGACGGACGGACAGACAGACAGACGGACATGGCTAGATCGACTCGGCTATTGATGCTGATCAAGAATATATATACTTTATGGGGTTGGAGATGCTTCCTTCTGTCTGTTACATACATTTGGCTTTCGCACAAATACAACATACCCTTATACCCATTTTGAATGGGTTCAGGGTATAAAAATGAGAACAAATGTCGCAATTTCTTCGTCGAGCAGCTGCCGTTTTGGCAAAGCTCAACGATTGCGAGATACATTTGTATCTAGATACTTTGGCTGGCCGGCACGGTAAACAAAAAGGCGCCCGTCGTGCCCGATTTCACCCGAATTCCGCGGACAAATGTCATTTAACGTGAGGTTAAGGCCGCGCTTGGACATGGCTACAATTTGTTTTTTCTTTTTCTTGGTTTTGGTTTTTTTATGTTCTGCGGAACATTTTTCGCTATTAAAAGAACATTTTTTCGTAATGCGATATGTTTATATTGTGTGTGTGCCAGCTTTTCGCCCGTTTTCTGTGTGTGTTTGGTTTTTTTTTTTTGTTTTTTAGGGTCAGTTCGTGTACATCACGTAGAAAAACATTTATTAGATGCGAGCCGAGGGAAAACGCTTTCAAAAACTGTCTTTTAATTGTGTTTCTAACCCAACTGCCGCAACTGCCGCAACGACCTTTTCCATGCCCCCTTAGCGGTGCGCACCGTTTCGCCTGCCCGTTACAATTTCAACAGCCTTAGCCTGAACTTGATATAAAACAAGAAAGAGCACGGCTAGCGCTGGCCAAGACGCACTTGAAATACCCTTTTAGATGAAAAGTTTTCCGTTTGCCGTTACAAATATCATTTCCATACAAAAAGTTCTTTTACGAACGAAACTTTCTGTAAAGTTGTTCCCTTTTGTTTGATCTAGATATCTTTATAAATACATAAGTTTTTCATACTATAACAAAATCTTCTACCGGTTACTCGAATAGATCCCATATAACATTGTAGACAAGTCGGAAGAAATGTGAAGCATGTGTTTGCTGAAGAAATCCGGTACAATATCAGGGTAAAGATTTCTTCCTCTCAGTTTCAAGCAGTTCTTCATATAGATCTTTATGATATAGGGGTTCGATAAAGATAAAATTTTGATCATATATAAGAAGAAGCATGTTAGTTCTAGCAAATTCCAATTTTGCTTAAGATATCTTGAGGAGCAAGAAAAAGTTAGTTCCATAAATGAAATTACATATTGAAGAAACATTCCCCTCACAGCTATATGATAAAGTGGTCCGATGCGGGGGATCCGGGGACATTTGGGGATAAACTAATGCAGACAAGCCAGGCCTGCTAGGAGGAATAGAAAACTGACCATGGAGGACTGGCAAAAAGTGGCTGCACATAAAAACAAATTGACAGCAAAGAAAATTCGTGGACTTAATACAAGATGCAAATCAAGAATGTTAAGCGACCAAGGAGAGTATGGAAATGGTTAACAATCTGACCATGGAGGACAAGAGAGTACAAAAGAAAGATTTCCAAGGCGAATATCAAGCACTTTAACGAGCTAGGAGAACAGGCAAAAGCAGGAAATCATGAAAGGCAAGAATTGAGAAAATAATATGAACATGGAGGTGGCACGAGAATAATATGAAAATCAAGAAAGCAAGCTGAATTTGTATGAAATCATTATGGAAAATGAAGAAATCAAGGGGACAACACGAAGACAATAATATGTTGCCGTATTTTGGATGCGAAACTGGGAATTCCGAATTCGAATGCGATCAAGAAGAAATGTGAAAAATATGTAAATAAGGGAAAGCATCTAAATTGGCTTACAAGAGCTTACAAGAAATATATCTAAAAAAAAATATATATAATAATAATACAAATTAAATAAAAGAAAATACAAAAAGATGAGACAAAGCCCCGCCCGAGAGGCCTCGAGATCTAGCATCAAGCTTACAAGATTTATATTCATAAAAATATAAAATATAGGCCTAGGCCTAAGCTAGACAAT